GAACATGGGGCAGTGAAGCTCAGGTTGGGGTTGAGGCAGGTCTCTTCTAGGACAGAGCCTGGCTCCCAGAAGCCTTGACAGGGGCACTACATACCCTGGCCCCAGGCCCCAGGGCTCAGGAGTGACCATAGGACCTGTCAGGATCCCTGAGGATGTGAGGATATCCAGAACTCCAGCTAAGCTCTGGAGACCAAGGAGTTGGGGGCAAGGGGTGTGGCTTCTGGTAACCCTGGAAACCACACATCAGAATTTGCAAAGGAGACCAATACAGAGATGAATGTTGTTAACAAAAAGAACCTTGAGGGGACAATCCAGTCTAAGAGGCTAAGCTTCTGCAGCTCAGCACACATGGCCTTGGAGGGGCCTGCGAATCCCAACTGAGGCACCCACGGTGGACTTGGCTAGGCAAGGCTGCCAGCCCAATAACATGGAAGAGAGAACGAGGAGGGGAGGAGAGGAAAGCTTGGAGGCAGAGCCTGGGCTGGACACATCCATATGGCCTCAACTGCCCAAGTGGCTCTGGCAAGAGAAAGACATGCCGGGTGCCTCTGAGTGCTGCCTGTGTGCATGACCCAGAAAAGCCACATCCAACCATGGCCGCTCCTCTGAGGATGCAAGCACTCTTCTGAGAAGTTGCCAGCCTCTATGTTTAACTGCAGAGCTCCTCTTTCATGGGGAAAGTGTAGATCAGACTAATTAATGTGTGTTGTTTGTTTACCCTCCCTTCATTTCCCTGAGACAAAATAATTAACCACAGAGCTTTAGAACCCACTCATCAGTGGCAGTCCTTTCTCTCCTGTGGTGTAGCTTGTGTGTGTAGATGTGGAGACCCTACACGGGACAGGGCAGGTGGCAGAACCAGGGGCTGCTCCTCCTATCCAGAACACTGCAGGAGGGGAGGCCAGTGAAGGGCTTCAACAGGGGATCCAGGCTAGCTGTGAAGGGTCTGGGTGGCAGCAGAAAGGGAGAAGAGGCTCAGGACTGCTTCATCTTCAGAGGACCACTGTGGTGGCACTGTGGTTGATGGCCCTCGGACTGTCAGCCATCTCAGATCCCATCCGCATCTGAATAAGGACCAAAAACATGCCTATAACCAGCCCAAAAATCAGAAAGGCCTGGCTACTCCCTGCCATTGCAGGTGGAGTGGGGGACTTGCTCAGAAGTGTTTCTGGGGTTACAGCCACAGTGAGTGAGACATTGGGCAGATGAAGAGAGAATCTCTCCCCTCACCCGCAAAACCCTGTCCCAGTTAATAGCAGATCCCAACCTGATTGGCCAAAACTGGGGACAAACCACACAAGAGAACAGAAGGTTGGAGGAATTTCTCTCAGGAACCCTTTGATGAGGGCAGGCCATATCCACCCAGACTCAGCAGAGTTGTGGCCACCTCGTGGACACAGGCCACAAGGTATGGTAAGGGCAACATAGTGCAAACAAGACAGACCCTCTCTCCCCAATCCTTTCTCCAAAACTCTCATCCTAGCCTGGGTTCAGTCAGCGCAGCCCACACCACCGCCCCTGGGTCAAGCCTGACCCCTGATGCAAGGCCACTGAACCCCTGGGGGGCTGCCTCACCCCACACTTGAGGTAAGCAGGGTCTGTCTACTTCTCAGTCAGCAATTTCTGCATTTGTTTGCTCCCTCACTCACACAGAAGGGGATCCAGGACTCAGCCACAAGCAGCTACAAGCCACAAGCAGGATCCTGAGAGGATCCTGGAGAGGATCATGAGTGGTAGTAAACAGCCCCAGCTCCCCACAAAATGACAGCTCAGTGTTGAAAGTGTCCTTGGTCTGGGGGGGGGGACTTGTGGGGTCAAGGAAAATCTCCTGAAGAGGAAGCATCTCAGCTGAGTCTTGAAGAGTGCAGAGAAGCTGACAGGAGGCGGGGGAGGGAGTTCCAGGCAGAGCCTGGCAAATACAAAGGCGGCAGGTAGCAGGCACAGCTGGGGTGCATGGGGCCCTCCTGCTGGTGGAGCTGGGGTGGGAGTGAGGGAGGGAGCACAAAGGCGGGAACACAAAGGGCCCCAGACAGAGATTGGGAGACTGAACTTTATCTCCCAAGACAATGAGGCCCCCAAAGGGAGGGAGAGAGTCAGACTGTGTTGGGCAGATCCTTCTGAGGCTGCCAGGCTCACCTGAGACAAGAGACAGTGCCAGGAGGATAGTGCCAGTTGGTCATTCAGGAGCTCAGGTGAGGATGGTGTTGGCTGGGCCTGGGTGGTGACCTCAGGCCACAGAAATGAGGAAAGAGGGAGGTAGACGGGAGTGGGCCTGCTCAAGACACTGGGGTGACACCCAGGTGACCTCAGGAATCCAGCCTGGGTCCTCCCCTAGAACGTTGGTACCAGCTAGTGTCTGAGGAACTTTGAGTGACCTTACTCCACCTGCTATTGCTCCCACAGAAATGGGACTCATTTCTGAGTCTGCCTCAGATCCCAGTGTGTCCAGCAGAGACGGAGATCCATGTGGGTGGGTCTAGGTTCTGTTTTGAGGTTCTCACTCAGGGGGAGGGATTCTGCCAGCTCCACACCTGGACAACTGTGAGTGTGCTGAGGGGGCTGTGCCCACGCCGCCCGTGAGGGAGAGTCAGTGGGCTGTGGCTGTTCTTGCAGTGGTGAACTACTGGGATGGTGTGTCCTGGAGTCTCTCTAGCCAGGTGGCAGGTTTGGGAGGACTCTGGATGCCCACAGCTCCTCTGAGCTCCAAGCCACAAGCTCTGGCCACAGAGTGGGAGAGGTCTAGCCTGGAGACTTCTGCTTGACTGTATTCTGTGTGGACGCACATGCTGCTCTGAATGGTGATCTGCCAGTGCTCACTTCAAAGCGATTCCCCGCTCCCACCTCCCCCCCACCCCCCACCCCCCACCCCCACCCCGAGGAAAGTCAAACCCTGTGCACTGTGATCATCAGAACCAGATGCAGCCTAAGCTGGTGAGCTAAGGGTCATCTTTAGACATGAAACCCTGGTCCCGTCCCCTCACCGCATCAGCCCTGGGAATGGTGGCTGTGAGGTGGTTGGGCCACTGACACACCATGGAGACAACCTGTTCTCATGCCATGGGACTGGTGGGAAAATGGCTGCCTCCTCTCTGTCCAGAGGCATCTTGAATCAACCTCTGCTCATTCATGCCATCTCTGAAGTGCCTTCATTGCCAGCCTGGGGCTCATTCCTTCTTTCCAGAAGTTTCTGGGCACATCCCAAAGCATTTGTGATACAGAACTGCAAAGACCAGGTCACTCCAAGGGGGACAGGAATTTCCAGTAGAGGTACCTAAGTCACTTGCCACTTGGGCAAGGGAGGAAAAGAATCCTCCTGAGGAGGTGATTTCTAAGCCAAGTCTTTTTTCCTTTTTGCAGTGCTGGGGATTGAACCCAGGGCCTCATGCATATTAGACAATTACTCTACCACTTGAGCCATGCCCACCACCCAGGCCCTCTCCTTTTGGTAGGGCAGAGTCTCGTTAACTTTCCAGGACTTGAACTCTCCATCCTTCTGCCTCTGCCTCCCAAGTAACTGAGATTACACCTGGCTCTGAGTCTTAAAAGAGAAAGGGTAAGCAAGGCAAGAATCAGCAGGCTGGGAAATCTCGGGGTAAGGACCAGACGCCACTGTCATAGTGAGTGGGAGGCATGCATCCAAGGAAATGGCAGGCTTAGCTGAGTGGAGGGTGGAAGCTGGTGACTTCAGTGAAGTGAGACACAGTCCTGGGCTGGCACAAAGGTTACAGCAGGGGCAGAAGGGACAGGTGGGACATGGGGACTGAGAGAGGTCAGTCCAGATGGCTCCCAGGTCCCTGGTTTAGGTATACCAAGGATCCGAGAGGGAAGAAAAGGTGTGGGGCCAGAACGAATGATGGCACCGTGATCCCAGACCCACTGAGGTGCTGGAGCAGAATGCTGGGCAGGGTCAGTGAGATGTGAGCTGATCTGGTAACAAAAACACAGGGTCAAGCTTACACAAGTTCCCTCCAAAGGGGCACCCATGGGTTCCTGGAGGCTGGGTAAATACACAGCACAATAGGCTCTCCTGGCTGCCTCTGATGGGTGGGGCCCTAGGCCTGCTCTGAGACCCACTGTGGCTCATACAGCCTGGGACAGAGACCTAGGGTCTGTGTATTCAGGTGGCTGTGGGCCTTGCCTGGGCTGAATCTTTCTGGACAAGCAAGAGAGTGAATAAAGCTTGGGCCAGGCCCATACAGCCCCAGAATGCTTCTCTAAAAGTCCCAGAGACCAGCGGGGCCTTGTAACTGAGTAACGAGTAATCTGCTCATTCTGAAAATTGATGAGGCCCAGACTATGCTGGGTTCTCCAAGGCACTTTGCCCAGGGGCAGCGGGGGTAGAGCACAGCACATGGCCTGATGCTCAGGCTCAAGCAGGGCCACAGCCATAGTGAGCTATGAGGGAGATGAGACTGCCTGGCCTCAGGCCCTGCCAGCCACACTGCCCTCTGCTCCAGGACTCTCAGGCCTCTTTTCTCTGTCCTGACCTGGATGTCCTGACCCATGGTCACTGCCCACCCATTATAAATACACCCCTGGTTCCTAAAGGGCTCAAGCTGCTTCTAGTCCATCCAGACATGTTCTAGGGTCTCTAGCATGTCCCCTTTGTGCTCACAATGCTGTGCCCTTGGAAGACCCCAGCAACTTTTCAAGAAATTAGGTTACGAGATCAAGATGCTCAGTTAGGCACAATGCTCTCACCAAGCTGTTTACTCCAAGAGAACCAGACACACAGGCGAATGGATTGTCTTTTGTACCTACTACCCTAAATGCTCCATGTGAGCCTGCAGGCTCTGGCCTGTCTTCAGAACCATCCTGGTCTCCTCAAGATCAGTAAAATTTCCTGTTTTCTGTCTCTGCAGGTTCTTAACAGGCCTTGGTGGCCCAGCATGGCCTACTGAGGTGAATCATGACTGGCTGGCTGACACTTGCCACTAATCATCCAGAGTTAAATCTTGCCAGGAGGTGACCCCTCCTCCAGCTATCCCCCAACTTGCCCGCCCCTGCCCAGAAGTGCCGCGGCTGCCACGGACACCATGTAGTAGGGCCGGCCGCGGCACCCAGTGAGCTGCGATGGTTTTGTACACGACTCCCTTTCCTAATAGCTGTCTGTCTGCCCTGCACGCCGTGTCCTGGGCCCTCATCTTCCCATGCTACTGGCTAATAGACCGGCTGGTGGCCTCTTTCAAACCCACCACCTACGAGAAGCGCCAGCGGGCGGATGACCCGTGCTGCCTGCAGCTGCTCTGCACTGCCCTCTTCACGCCAATCTACCTGGCCCTGCTCGTGGCTGCACTGCCCTTTGCCTTTCTTGGGTTCCTCTTCTGGTCCCCCCTGCAGTCTGCCCGCAGGCCCTACACCTACTCACGGCTGGAGGACAAGGGTCCAGCTGGTGGGGCAGCCCTGCTCAATGAATGGAAGGGCACAGGGACTGGCAAAAGTTTCTGTTTTGCCACTGCCAACCTTTGCCTCCTCCCAGACTCACTCGCCAGGCTCAATAACCTTTTCAACACCCAAGCACGGGCCAAAGAGATTGGGCAGAGAATCCGCAATGGGGCTGCACGGCCCCAGATCAAAATCTACATTGATTCACCCACCAACACTTCCATCAGTGCGGCCAGCTTCAGCAGCCTGGTGTCACCTCAGGGCAGTGATGGTGGGACCAGGGCTGTCCCTGGGAACATCAAAAGGACAGCCTCTGTGGAATACAAGGGCGATGGCGGACGTCACCCCAGTGATGAGGCTGCTAATGGCCCGGCCTCTGGGGACACAGCTGATGGTGGTAGCCTTGAGGACGCTTGCATCGTGCGCATTGGGGGTGAGGAGGGGGGTCGGCCACCTGAAATGGATGACTCTGCTACTGGGAGCCAAGTCAGGAACGGGGCCAGTGGGGGCCCGAAGGGCCAGACGCCTAACCACAATCAGCGGGATGGGGATTCAGGGAGCCTGGGCAGCCCCTCGGCCTCCAGGGAGTCCCTGGTGAAGGCGCGAGCCGGGCCGGATGGCAGTGGCGGTGGAGAGCCAGGCGTCAACAGCAAGCTCCTGTATAAGGCCTCAGTGGTGAAGAAGGCAGCTGCACGCAGGAGGCGGCACCCAGATGAGGCCTTTGACCATGAGGTCTCAGCCTTCTTCCCTGCCAACCTGGACTTCCTGTGCCTGCAGGAGGTGTTTGACAAACGGGCAGCCGCCAAGTTGAAAGACCAGCTACATGGCTACTTCGAGTACATCTTGTATGATGTCGGGGTCTATGGCTGTAGAGGCTGCTGCAACTTCAAGTGTCTCAATAGCGGCCTCTTCTTTGCCAGTCGCTACCCGGTCATGGACGTGGCCTATCACTGTTACCCCAATGGGTGCAGCTTCGACGCCCTGGCCTCTAAGGGAGCTCTGTTTCTCAAGGTAGGAGCCCTCGGTCCAACCTGAGAGCCACATGCCAGCAGGTCCCCAAGCCATGTGGGGAAGGTGGGCCTCAGCTGGGGAGTCTCCACTCTCTTAGGGGGCCAAAGTAGAATGCAGACAAGGTTTTTCATGGAACTGAACCAGACCCCACCCCCCAACTCAGAGACAAGGGAAATACAGACATAAGAACCAGAGCCAAGGTACCAAGCTCAGGCTGAGTGAACTGGACCTGTTCCTCAGAACTTTGAGCCGCCATTTTCCCATATGTAAAACAGGAGCAGGATAGAAGCGAACTCGAGTGGCAAGGCCTGGGAAGGGCTCAGAGCCTCTGCTCTTTACTATGTGTGGTAAGGGTGGCCGCGGTGAAGATGGGGATAAGGGCAGGAGGAGGAGACAGGTCCCCTCTGCATTCACACAAGGCAGGGAAACTAATGCAGACCAAGAGTACAGGCCAGCAGATGGGCCTCTCAGGTCGAGGGCCAATGACCACACTCTGCTCACTGAGGCCACCAGCATCACTGACCTGCATAGCCCCTCTCTCTTGGCTGTCAGCAGCTGCCATACCAGGCTCTCTGCCCACCAGCCTGTGGCTTCACTTCCATAGTCAGTAATTAAAGTGAATCATGATTATTTCTGCTAATTTGGATGCAATTGGAGGAGTTTTCAGACCACGGTAATATAGTCATTACACATTATCTTCCACTGAGCCTAAGATGCTTAGAGTGTCGACTTTTTGTTCCCTATTCAAATGCCACTGTTGGTGCTTCCAGAGTTTTCTGAAGTATCATTTTGGCCAGCTGATGCAGAACAGGACTTTCTGCCCCCAGAGGCAGCAGCAGCTGTGGGTGTGGGTTCTGTCCCTTCAAGGTGAGACATGACAAAGTGGATGCTCAGCAGGGAGGGCCAGGTCTCACAGGCCCTGGGCAGGTTTCCCTCACTTCTCAGGTCTTGGCTAGAAGCCATGGAGCTTGGCCTGTCCAGGAAAATGGTGGTATGTGAGCTGGCACCTGCTAGGAGTGAGGGCAGATTGTCTCGACGGTGCTTGCTGGAGCCAGGGCAGGCACCTAAGGGCTTCAGCCCCCCACCCTAGTGGGGAACTCAATGTGTCTTGTATGTCTCTGCCAGGCCAAGGTTGGGATCCCCAGATTTCCATTCACAGCCTGAGATGCTGAAATGGAACCAAGTTCTCTGACAAACAGACCCAGCCTTCCTGTTCTGGCATATGGCTCGTTGGTGTTCTGTTCTGTGGATGTATTTTTATCTCAGCAGCCAGAGTGACTTTCTGAGGAAGAAGGGAATATGTTGTCAGGCTCAGGATGGGACAGTATGCACTGTCACTCCTGCCCTATTACAGATGGCTCTGAGGCCAGAGACCCCCACTCCCAGTCCACTGCTGTGCAGCCAATCCACATGTGCCCTCACCTGCCTTCTCTGTCTGGTACCCTGTGTCTCCAAGGTCAACAACGGTCTCCTTGTGACAGCTCCTCCTTTGAAGCTCTGTCCTAAATGTACTTTTTGTCTCTTTCTACCTCCTAGGTCTCAAACTGGTCTGAAAATATATTTAATTTGGCCCATGCTACTAAATTTTTGTGTGTGGGGGGAGCTGAGGATTCAGCTCAAAGGTAGAGTGCATGCCTAGCATGCCTGACACCCAATACCACAGGGGGAAAAAGAAAGTTTTTAAAATTGGCCAGTATTTAAATATCACATAAAACCCATTTGCAACTTCTCTTGACATCTCACAGGTCTGGCAGCACCAGCCTACCATGTTTCCCACAGCTGCAGGCAGCCCGGGCTGGGGCTTGAGACAACCCCACTTAGCTGGCTCTCTTCATTTTCCTGTGACCCGTACACCCTATCCTGCACCTCCCGCAGGGAGTGTGACTCCAGTCTCCATTTCTGCCCTTGCTGATGACTTCCCAACCCAGTTTTTCCCAGAGACCCAGTCCCTGGATGCATCCAGTTTGCTCCTAAACCAAGCTCAATGTCTGTCCCAGCTACCTTCTCCCAGAATCCTCCATCCCCAAGCCAGAGGGGCCGCAGAGGGGCAGCTCCTGTGTCCTGTCTCAGGCTCTTCATTTCACTTTCCGATATCCATGGCTCCACCCTACCTTTAGCTCTACCACCTTGGCCCAGGCTCCATTCTTCTGCAATGGCCTAATTGTGGTTGTGGCTGTCTGACACTTCCCAATGGGGGCCTGTCAGACCTTACCAGATCTGATTCCCCTTCCCACTTCCAGTATCTCAGGGGAAAGCCCAAATTTCTCCTTGGTTCCTCCCCATAGTCCATGCTCAGCCCCTGCCATACCACCCTCCAGCGGCCTCCATACTCCATGCTCTGCTAGTCTTGGTCCTGCCCAGTACAAGACAGTTTTCCCTTCATGGGCTCCTCAATCCTGTGCCCATCTGTCTTGCAGCCTGGTTGTCCCATCAGATATTGCCCACCAGAGCAGAGCTGTGTGCTTGGCAAACAGAAGTCCCCTCCCCACCCCCCACCCCCGCCACTTACCTCTGTCGGCCCAGGGCATAATTGTCCTTCTGCTATGGAGGAGTGAAATCAGCATGACTTCAGAGGGTCAGTCATAGCAGGAGAGGCGCTGGAGACATGAGAATGGTGCCGTTCTTCCACCACCTACCTCAGTGGGCTCTACCTTCCTGGTTTATTCTGTGATAGTTCAGATCCATTGGGAAAACTCGATTCCCTGTGAAGGAAAGGCCTGGAATCCCTTTGCTCAGTACGATTGAGCCTAATTCTGAGCACCTTTTCTGTTGACAGTCTTTGCCCACCAGAACTAAAAGGCACTGCCTCTTGGTGTGATTGTTTTTGCAAGAGAAACACATAAGAGTCTGCAGCGCCTAAGGACATGAGTCGGGAATCAATAAATCCCAGCAAATAATAAAGTGGGTCCTGGCAAGATCATTCGCCTGTTAGAGAGGCAGGGTGTGTGTGGCTTTGCTACTAGGCGCTATCTTCTCCCTGGCGGATTCTCCTCAGCAGAAGGGCCGAGTGGGATGCCTTTCTGCACATGTCCTTTGTCCCCGTCCAGCACTCAGCATAGGGCAAGTGACACTAAGTGCAAGGGAGAGTCTGACACATGAAGACGAACAAATAGGTGGCCCGTGAGAAGCCCAGCAAAGACACTCTTGGCTCAGAAAGCAGCAAAGAGCACTCTGTGATGGACAACAGGTCTGATTCAACCCATCTTGCCTTCCTGAGCCTTGTGGCCAGTAACAACTCTGGGCCTCAGTGTCTCCATCTATTAAAATGGCAGACATTTAGTGTCATCCTCATTGTCAAAGCTGAAGTGCTCACTTGCTGCCTGAGGAACACAAGGACAATAGTGCCATCATGTGCCCCTTTTGAGCGCTGGGGTTTTGAAAATGTGCTTCTGCAATAGGATGTGTCAATAGTACACATCCTATTAATAGTACACATACAATAGTACAGGGTTTACAGGGCCTCAGGGGCCATTTGGGGCTGGTATATGGGCAGGAAGTGAATGGTGAACATGTGAATTTACTCTAGTCTGTAAAGCCCATTATGAAATATCTAGACATTGACTCCAAGGGGAAGGGAAGATGGGCTCCAGACTGGGAGAGGGCTGAGGAGCTGTGGAAAGCCAGGGGTCTTTGCTGAAAAAGCCAGATGGAAGAGAAGACCCACCAGACTTCAGCAGCGGCCAGGGTTCTGGAGCAGATGGCAAGTGACATGGCTACTGTACCTTTGGCCAGTGGCTAGAACTGGCAGCTTGGCCTCTCCAGTACACCTCCTTGAGGAGTTCCTAGGTCTGGGGTCTCACCACCTCAGAAAATCCAGCTTGAATGAAACTGCAAAGTCTGGGGAGGGCAACTTAGGCATGCAAGGAAGAATGAGATGCTGAGAGAGACTCTGGGGACAGATGCCCATGACAGTCTCTGGGGGGCATCCTGATGAAGACCACTAGTAGCTGACCATAATAGAGGGCCTGGGAGAGCCCTTAGGCAGGGAGGGGTTGTCTCTTTGTGGCCATCCTCACTTCCCCATTAACACACTGACAAGGGCTCAATTTTGCACAGGTTGCTACATGCGGTGAGATGGTTGAGAAGCCCATTTTTATTAAGCCAGCATTGGCAATGGCCTGCCAGGGTCATCTGCAGGTTGGGTGGAATCGATGTATTAACCTTATCTGCCCCAGCCCACCCCAGCAGCTCCATCCTCAGTAAAGGAGGTTAGCAGGGAGACAAGGACAGAGGTCTAGGTAGTCAAGCCATGAAGGTGCAATGAGGCCACTGTGGAGGAAAGAGGGCTGGGATCAGGATGAGCCAGCCCATGACACAAGAGCTCAGAGCCACAGGGATATAGGTGAGATCTCTCATCCAAGACAGGGACCTCAGGGGATCATGGCCTATATAAGAAGATGGAGCAACTTACCGTGCAACCAGACAGGGCAAATCCTGGGACAGCAGGAGGGTGGTAGGGTCTAAGGCCACTCACTAGGGAGCTTTGAGGTCAGGTACACCCAGATGGACATCTGGCCTTGATTTCAGAGGAAGGAACACCAGGTCACACCAGGGTTAGGATGTGACCAAGGGAAGGAGGGAAGAGCCACCAGACAAGAACAAAGAACTGAGGGTCATGTAGGTGGACACTAGTCACAGGAGACAGCCGGGGCTGGGGAAGCACTCAGCTGTAGTTTCCGCATTTTCCCCCATGATGCCTCACATGAATTGTTCCATGCCACAAGCTGATGTTTTCTTTAGACATCAGCCTCCTGAACTAGGCCAAAAGCTCCTAGAAGCAGGACACGTTCTGTCCTTACTTGGGCCCCAGAGTCAAGCCAGGAACTTGGTACAGAGTGGCTTATGAGGTTTTGACCCAGACAGCTAGGGTCCCTTTGTGTTCAGAGCAATGGTGACTGGTAGGTGGCAGCACTGACATCTCGCCTCCCCGCAGGTGCAGGTGGGAAGCACACCTCAGGACCAAAGAATTGTCGGTTATATCGCCTGCACACACCTGCACGCCCCACCAGGTAGGTCGCCAGCCCGGGATTCTCTGGGGGTGGGATCTATGCCTGGGGCCTGGCTGGGATCTGGGACAAGCTTCATGGTCCAGTCTCTGTCTACTCTGCAGAAGACAGTGCCATCCGGTGTGAGCAGCTGGACCTGCTTCAGGACTGGCTGGCTGATTTCCGAAAATCTACCTCCTCGTCCAGTGCAGCCAACCCCGAGGAGCTGGTGGCATTTGACGTCATCTGTGGAGATCTGAACTTTGACAACTGCTCCTCAGGTGAGTTTCCGCTCCTCCCCTTTTGGGTCTGCTGCTCTGGGCAGGTCATGAGCCCAGGACATAGCTAGAGAGACTTGGGTTAGCAGCTCGCAGAACCTCCTGCTCCACATGAGAGTGTAGGTGGGAAATTTAGTAAGATAATTTAGCAAGACTGATATCTCTATCGCCCAGAAACCTAGAACAGGAGAGCCCACATTCTACTTCAAAAGCTCAGCAGCCCCTCACGGGAGGCAAAGCAATTCCCTAAAAACAAACCTGAGCCTCTGAAACTCAGACTAAGGGAGAGTCAGCTAACAATACTCATCGGACATTTATTCAGTGCTTACTCTGCTTCAAGCAGGAAGCAAACTGGTATTTCATTTAAGTCTCCTAATGACCTGAAGAGATAGGCATTGTACTTCTCCACAAGCTGGGACTCAAGAGAAGTTGAGTAACTAGCCCTACATCAACAGCCGTAAGCAGTTGAATTGGAATTTGAACCCTGGGAATCTGGTAACCCTGCCTTAAACAACTAGGCTAAGAGAGTAAAAGTCATCATCAGTGAAATTTTAAATAACTGGTTGAAGAGCTGGTGGAGTGGCTCACGTAGTAAGAGTGCCTGCCTAGCAAGCATGAGGCCCTGAGTTCAAACTCCAGGGATACACACACACACACAAAATTGGTTTAAATAACTGATCTCACAAGGGTGCCTCCAAGCCTCCCTTGGCCTGGGAGCCTCACTGACTCTGGTCAGTGCTCCCAAGGGAAGATGAGGATGGGGTGACCGTGAACTCAGGTCCAACCTGTAGTGAGAGCAGGAAACATGAAGGTCTCACCTGGAGTTCAGGGTGGTGCCCTTATCTGGTAGCAGTAGGTGACAACTGTTTCAACCTGTTCCTGGCCAGGGAGCATGTCCCGACAATAGTGATGACCCAAACTGAGTGGGATCTGGGGTGTCCCCACCACGAACACACAGTCCCCAGCATGGGGGAGGCTGCTGCAGTCATGTGGTGACAACATGCCTGGACATACCAGCTCCTGTCCCAGCACCAGGCCCCTGTAGATCTGTCATAGACACATGCCTGATGCCAACTCCACATTCAGGGTGCTCTGGGATCCTCCCAAGTCAAAGAAAGGCCCATCTGGCTCAATGAGCTGGCAAAATAAACAGGAATCCCAAGCAGGTCATCTCCCTCACTGAGCTTTGTAGGGTCCACTTCTCCCTCAAGGCTAGGCACCCAGATCTGGGAAAAGGGCAGGCGTCCCAGCCTGGGGAAGCATCGGCCAGCCCCTCACAACACTTTGCCACAGGATCTGGGAAGGCCTTGAGGTCACTGTCCTCTATAGGACAAGAGGGACAGTGATCACCGTTGTTGGATAGACAGACGCTAAACACTGGAATTCGGAGTTGGGGGGCATTCTCAAGGTCACAGACAACAACAGATGGACCACTGTGGAACCACAGAGCCCTCTTACAGGTGGCAACCTAGGGACAGGGACCTGGTGGCACCAGGTATGAGTAACTGATGGGAAGCAGGCCCCTCAAGGTGGCAACAGCTGCACAGCATTTCCTCCCTGTTTTCCTCCCCACACAGAAGACAAGCTGGAGCAGCAGCACTCCCTGTTTACACGCTACAAGGACCCTTGCCGTCTGGGACCTGGGGAGGAGAAGCCATGGGCCATTGGTGAGTGGGCCTAAGAGGGACTGGCTAGGGGCTGGGCTTCTCTCAGTCTTCCCAAAGTCCCACTGCCAGGGATGGGCCCCAGTTAGCTGCCCAGGGCTCCCAGAAGCTCTGGCATTCCCCACTTCATAGAGGCTGTCTCCTCAAGATTGGCTGGACCATTCTCCTCCTTGTCCCCAGGTACCCTGCTGGACACAAATGGCCTGTATGATGAGGATGTGTGCACCCCTGACAATCTGCAGAAGTAAGTGCCTATGCTGCTGCCCAATCAGCTCTAGGTCTGGAGGAGGCACCAAGGCCCAACTCAGGTGGTGGAAGGATGGGGGCTGGGGAGGAGCTCACTCAAGCCAATGAGGGCTTTGACAGCCTCAGGATCTCCAGCTGGAGCCTTGATAACAGGTGGCTGGAGGCTGGCCTTGCTAAGAAATCTCAGAGCCTCATGGTGTCTGGAGGGGCCATTTCCTAGACCAGCAGCCCAGGATCCTGCTGGTACAGGAAAAGGAATCAGAGCTTCCCAGGGCCAGACCAAGGGCCAAGCCTTGTAGCAGGGCCACTGGGTAAAGTGTGTATGGAAGGGAACTGGCAGGTTGTGGCACCAATTAGGCAAATAAAAACACAAGCAGAGAGAATACAAGCCAGTTATTCTCAAAGAGGGGACAGTTCCACCCCAGCCAAACTTCATTCTTAAACCTAATGAGGCTTCCATAAAGGACACGGTGGAGAGGCCAACAGCAGAACTGACTTATAATTCATAGCCTGAGACTGCACAGAGCCATGGCCATGACTCCTTGCAGCTAATTTAAGCCAATTAATTAGATTATAGACTAAATTTGAAACATCATCCTATGCCGAGAAAATTATCTTTTCATGAGATGATGATTAAAAAATGACTATCAGTAACTCTCGGATCATTGATGCTAGAATTAATTATCAAAGGCAAAGGACAGTAATGGATTATATCTTCGAGCTGTAACAATGTACTGAATGTCATTAGTGTATTTATCTTAAGGCTGATTTAAAAAAAAAAAAAAAAACTTGTAGGAACTTGTGTTTGCCAGCCTGGCCTTTCCAGGTCTCGGAGTCTGTCCAGCATTAACCATTTGGTGGCCTGAGCAGTGTCTCCCCAGGCAACCTCTGGCCTGAGCCTGACCCTTGCAACAGGGGGTCCCAGAGGAATCCTAAACTGCCTGTCCAGGAGAGGGAGGGCTTGGGCTCCAGAGGAAAAGCCAGCAGGATGGAGACAGGCACCCTGCTGTCTCAGGGAAGTGATGACAGGAAGACAGAAGACCCAAGATGAAGAGGGCAACAGGTCCTGCCCATGTGCCTGCCCTCCCTATAGACCAGGAAGGGCACTTAAGCACCCAATGAGTTTCCTTGTTTTGAGAAATAGGACAACAGCTCATTCTTTGAAACATCTTGGGGCCCACAGCAACCCTTCTTGTTTCAGAGAAGAGGAGATGGGGGCTCAGAGGTTTCATGACATAAGCTGGGTCACACTACTGCCTAGTGAATCCCCCATGGGGCCTGGGTGCTCTCTTGCACCCTGCCAACCTGAAACAGTTGTGGGGCAGGAGAGATGGGTCCCTGAGGCTCATGGCAAAGACCAAGTTCCCACCAAACAGGCCTCTATTGGCTCAGAGAAACCTCTTCTGGAGAGAGGGTAGAGACAGCTGTCTCTACCACAGATCACAGCCAGGAGAGAGCCATGACCAATGTCCAAGTTCAGAAAGGAAAGCAAAGGCTGCCAGCCTAAGGACAAAGGGCAACTTGTGGTGTGTGCCCCTCCTTCCTCCCAGCCAGGAACTGGCAGGCTCTTACTCAACTTCCCTCTAGCCCAGGCCCTTTGTGGAGCCACGTGGTAGACAGAAGTTTGGTCCAACCTGTTCCCTTCTCACTATGTGAAGAGATCATGGCTCCACACACAGGACCTGCAAGACCCTTGGAATGGTGTGAGGCTCACTTTGCTTCCTGTCTGCACGACAGGGTCCTGGAGAGTGAGGAGGGCCGCAGGGAGTACCTGGCCTTCCCCACCAGCAAGAGCCCAGGGGCTGGGCAGAAGGGGCGGAAGGACCTGCTGAAGGGCAATGGCCGGCGCATCGACTACATGCTGCATGCTGAGGAGGGGCTGTGCCCCGACTGGAAGGCTGTGAGTCTGGGACAGCTCTCTTTAGACCCCACCCCCTGCCCATGCTCCTTTAAAAAGAGCTGTCATTCTTCCAGACCTGGGATCCTGGGTCCTTTCTCTCACATCTGGGACCTGCCCCTGCCCTCAGGCCCCTCCTTTGCAGGTCCTTAGGGTCTAATCAGAATCCTTCTCTCATGCCCTCCCCAGGAGGTGGAAGAATTCAGTTTTATAACCCAGCTGTCCGGCCTGACCGACCACCTCCCAGTGGCCATGCGGCTGATGGTGTCTTCAGGGGAAGAGGAGGCATAGACCAGCCAAGTCGCCAGCATCCAGAGCAGTGGGGGGACTCTGCCAGCCCTTCAAGCCACAGCCCATCCCTGTGCTGTGTCCACTCTATCAAGCAGTGCTGGGGGGAGAAGGGCAGGGGACAGGAGCGAGCCATGGTCAGTTCCCCAGGGAGCCTGGAAGCATCACTGCTTGGCACCTTTGGGCCCTATCAGCGTACAGGACTCAGGCTGGCCCAGGAGCCCCTGGCTGTCTAATCAGTGCCATTCTTTCCAAACGTAATTTTCTACAGATCTACACAGCACAACCTAGTTTGTAACCCGAGGGTTAGTACGAAGACGGGGTTTATGTACTCTTTGTATCTCTTCTTAAGCTTCGTCGGGGTTCGTTACTTTTGTCTGCTGCCAATGTTGTCTCGCATGCCCGCACCCTCGCATGCTTGCTGCCCGCATGCCATGCGCCACACTGTAGCCACACAGACCCCTGCCTGGGCCTCCCCCAAGGCCAGACTCCAAACACAATCAGAACCAGCCAAAGAAGCACTGCCTGGGCACGGCCACCAGCTCTCTGCCTCCAGCCCAGACTGCGTGCAGGGGACAGAGGACCGAAGTGAGGGCTGTTACTGGCCAGCCCAGGGCTCTTCCCAGGGTCTTGCATTCAAGGGCAATTACATTTTAAAAAGAAAACAGAAAAGTTAAAAATCACTCTTCACTCTAAAGGGTCTGCAAGTTGCCAGGTAGAACTTTGCTGTTCCGGAACGGAGTCCCTTCCCTAGTCCACACACTGGGGGTCAAGCTGGCTCCTGCCCACCAGCAGCTCCTCTGGGAGACTGATAGGGGCAGCGGAGCCATAATGGGAAACCCAAGAGGGTGTTACTTTTTTTACAGGAAGGAACTCAGCCTAACAGGGAAGTGTGTGGGGTAGGGGAGGATCCTAATTTTGGAAAATGACAGGTTTGTAGCTTCTTTTCTTGTATCCAAGTCATTATGTACTCTTCTTTCTGCTGAGCCCCCTGCACCCCTCCAAACACCTCTCTGGTTCCAGACCAATCCTTCCCTGGGGACTTTTCCCTATCCACGTGCTGGCTGAGCTCAGGAACCGCTTCCCCGCCCCCAGGAGGGGCTTCAACTCTGGCCTCCTAGGCCTGCCCTCCTCAATAGCTATCCCATGTCTAGGAGGAGACCATGAAGGAAGGGCAGAAGCCAAGGTGTGGAAAGTGACCTGACCCTCACCAGTGTGCAGGTTGAGGTGGCCAGGCTAATAGCCACTGCTTGTCTGGAGCAAGGTATGGTACTAGATGGTGTTCAGGCCCATAGAAGCCACTCTGCCATATGACCAGGGCCAGTCCCAGGTTCAGCATGCCAGAGCTGGCCAACAATCCAGGCCCTCCATCTGCCCTGGGCCTAGGATGGAGGCTCCCAGGCAAAACTGCCTCTGCCCACCTGCCTTCAGATGCAGAGCTGTTCTCCAACCACATGGAGAGGGTCTGTTTCAAGGCGCTGGGCTCCAACTTGAGGGACTATTTTGACAACCCTGCTGGTCTCCTCAAAGTACCCTGACCTTGCATCCAACCTGGCTCAGAGCCAGCTCTGCCTATTAGAAGCTGGAAGGAGCACCAAGACCCTGCTGTTGGGACCTCTTGGTGCTGGTGCACTGAAGCTGTGCCTTGTCACCCACTAAGCAGAAAGAGGGACCAAGAGGGTGGCCTGAAGCCAGCTAGACTCTCTGCTGGGGGAGGACAATCCTGCAGAACCTGGGCAGTTTGGCGCTAGAACATGAGTCTCTGGTGACTCTAAACCATTTGGCCTAGGAACACTACTCTGCCAAGGTCCCACTGTGCCCAGTGTCTAGAGCAAGGGAGAGGCTGCTTCAGCAAGAGAAGCCCTTCTGGGCTCTGATGTGCCTCTCTCCTGCGAGGGCTTGGCCTCCCAAGGTACTGGAGAGGCCTGGTGGGGTGGAAAGTCCCCCACTTGTGGGAACAGAAAGGACTCAGTTCATTCACACAGGGGTCAAGTGGGCAGGCCCAACCCCTAGACCTACACTGCTGTGCACACAGGGAGAGTAGCTGAGGCAAGGCCAGGGTCTCTGTGCTAGACTCCAGCAGCTTCTGTCGCTGAGGGTGACGGCAACATGTGTGGAGTCAGGACCACATGCTCCTCCCCTCCAACTCCCGGGCGGCCTTAGGCAAGTCAAACCCTGTGCCTCGGTCATCTTCTATCTTCATAAGGTCGCCTCTGCCCAGTCAGGTCCTGGCGTCCAGAGGAGGGAAGTCCTGCCTCCCAGCTCCCCCAACCACTTCCCTCAGCGCTGAGGCTGCGACCTTCTGCCTGCCACACATTTCACCATGGTTTGCCTGTAACTCCCAGGCCTGTGGACAGCCAGGACTTTCCATGTCAATTTTCAAATGAGAAAAAGATACTGCCAGGATCTTGTATTCTGTGGCATCTAAGCCTGGGAGGGGGTGTTACAGGGGTTGCCCAGATCTCAAACTCAGGCTCTGCCTGCTCCAGGCCCACCTCAAGGGAAGCCTCAGGCAGGTGGGGCCAGATTAGGAAGGAAATGTTCATTTTCATTTGTCCAAAACCACCTTAAATTTTAAGTATAGATATTAATCTTGAGGCTTTTTAACTATTGTATTAACTTGCTGAGATTTAGAAATACTGTTTTAAAAAAAAAAGAAAAAAAACACTTTTTTAATTTCTGTATTTTTTTCTGTATTGTATCCTCATGGGACATTAGGGGTTTTATATGATTAAGACACCTAAGGTTTTGGTAAAAAAAAAAAAAAGTTATTAAATATGTATCCAGACGATTCTTCCCTAGAAGAAAAACAATCTTTACACCTGATAAAAATTTTTGAAAAGAGAGGTCAGTTTTTCCTTTTATGGTGCTGAAAGGAAGGATGAAGAATGAGGAGGAAATAAAACTGTGAGGCTCAAGGTTGATGTTCTTTTCTTATTTGAGTGACAAGCTGGGAAGGGCCATGCTGAGTCCAGACACGAGCTGGACAGCTTGGGAGCAGTGCGGGACAACTATGTGTGGAGAGGGAACAGTTCAAGTCTGCCCCGAAATGCAAGAACCCAGGGTTATCTGAGTTTTAACTGGGTATCTCCTTATCCTGAGAACTGGGTGAGAACTGGGAGGTCAACAACAAAAGGGCAACAAGTGCATGGGAGAAGCAAGGCTGTGTGGCCGACCTAGGAATCTGATGGTCCCTAGTGAAGCAAGCTGGGGTGGTCCGTATGTTATCTCATTGGCCCAAGATTTCTAAGGGGGCAGCTGTCATGGATATAATGGGGCATGCAGGAAAGGGCTGCACCTCCTGGCTCCCTTTCCTGATGGCTGATTCCCAGAGCTGCCCTCTAAGAACTGCTTTGCAACAACCTCTAACCTGGCCTCTGCACAGCTCTTGGGGCTTGGCAGGCCATCTGTTAGTGTGCACTGAGACCAGATGCTCAGTTACTTATGAATAAGGCTTAGTGAAGCTACCTAGCAGAGGAAGGGTCAGAACCTTGTCTTCTTAGCCCTGGTGCCACCAGGGTGTTCAAGCCATAGGGACGCAGAAGTTCCAAGAAAGCAGACAGACTAGGCAGGCTCTTCTAGCTGCACTGCCCAGGCAGCCCCACCCCCATCCCAGCCAAAGCCTTGTGTCTCCATTCTCCTCCAGGTAGAGCAAGAGATGTCTCTGCTCTAGAGCCTTCTGAACCCTCAGAACCACAAGCAGGGTGGTCTCCCTGATCCCTTCAGATAGAAATCAGTCACCAGCCCATGCTGCCTACCATATCTGGAGATGGGAACCAACAGTACAAAAATGCAAGATGGAAGAGGTCTCCTTTGTAGAGGGCAAGCAGGTCCCAGGAAGAAGATGAATGCCTTCCCCAATGAGCCACAATCCATTCAGAGCCCGTAGCCTTTATTTCTCAACCGGGGAGAGTCAGTCTGGGGTGTGCATGAACCTGAACTCCATGGTGATATCTCCGGTGTGGGGGTGAAAGTCCACAGTATAGCTGACTGTCCGAGGGCCATCCAGTGGCATCCTGGGATCCAAGGTGGTGCTAAGGAAGTACACAGCCTGCTTGCAATGGGGGTTCCAGCAACAATCCCCCTATGGGATGAGCAGCAAGAAAATGGTAAGGATCCCTGGCATCCAGGCTACCTTTCTGTCCAGTGTCCAGCCCAGGCAGCTTGCAGTGAGAAGCTGCTGCTGAGAAGTTATCATCTGGACTGAAGGACAAAGGACAGGAATACCCAGAGGAGGGTGTGTGTGGGGAGGGAAGTGACACCTACTCTGGAGTCAGCACACACTCTGGGCCTGGTGCACATGGCACTACCTTGTCTTCCAAGGGCTCCAGGAGGCCAGTGCTGACAGTGTTGTCTTGTGTCAGGTGGTATTCCATCCACAGGACTGCCCCATGGCTTTTTCCAGGCCTGGGAAGGAATCATTGTGCTAGTCAGTCACACAGAGATGGGTGAGCACAGTTGGGGCTTCCCTCTACTTTCCTGAAACCTCTGGTCTTTATCATTCCCATCCTGCCCAGTGAGGAGATCCTAACACTCCACACTCCACCTTACTGAAAGGCCATACAGAAAAAGCTGAGCAAGAGACGCCACAGCTCAGAAGCTCCACTGCTCCCCACTGCTTGCAAAGCACTAAGAGTAACATCAAGGCAGGACTGATCAGCCACAGAGTCAGCCCCCATTGGCTGTGGTCCAGGGATGGAGTGCAGCCTTTGCACTTCAGACACACTGGGCAGCAGTCCACACCAGCAAGAATATCTGCCCAGTCTGGTTGCCTGCCTTCAGTTCACAGAGCACTGGGAGCTGTGGCCCCTGCTCATGCCCTCTGCTAGGTAGAAGGAGAGAATGTTTCTCTGTGAAGGGAGCTGGAGTTGGGTGGGATCTCCCATGCCTTGCAGCAAGCAGCCCTCACCAACCCTAACCTGCTTTAATTCCCAAGAGAGTTCAGGAAAATGGGCCAATGGGTAACCATAGTAACCAAACTCTCATTCTCTGCAGCTATGATTCAATAAGAGAACCTTGACAAAGCCTGCCATGACTCCTCCTTCCTTAAACATGCCCTGAGGCTATGGGACGAACACAAAGAAAGGACAGGAAGGATAAAATAAGGACAGGAGGATATGTGGTGAGCCCCGCCAGCTGTTGCTTCACTAAGTGGGTAATAACTCCTCCCATTTCTTCATCCCCACTGCCTTCCAGAGCTTCCACTCACCTTCTCAGCTCCATGGAACCCTCGGCATGCATAGGCTGCTGGGGGACAGGCTGCTGAAAATCAAAGGTCAGGATTCTCTGGGGCTCCGAGAGGCTACGGCAGGGGTACTCCCACAGTGGGTGAGGCTCTGCCTCCTTGCTCTCCCGGAAATCTAGAGCACGCTGAGAGGAGAAAGGGGTTTAGAGGTTTGCAGAGACATGCTGAGCCAGCCAGGGGCACCCTAACCTCCATGGCCCAAGTTCCTCAGGGAAGGTGTGGTCATGTGGGTAGCAAGTTCTCTCAAATGACACCAGGCCCTGGTTGGCCTGTGGAATTCTCTCTTTTCCTCCCATTCATCAGTTTTTTCTCAGTGAGTCACTTTGTCTCTCTAAGTCTTATTTTCTTCCTTCTTAAAATGAGGTGACAACAGCTCACTAGTTGTGAACTACTCTGAAGACCAGGCATCTATGTGGATAAAAACATCTGACATTTGGACACTCACTACTACCGACCACTACAGCCACAATATCATCCCAATGGAAGGCTCAGAGATTGAGGGGAGACAGACATGTAAACGACCAAGCCCAATGGCTAGGAATTCAGGTGGGAAAAGGGGCTACAGTGGGCAAAAACAGGACAGGGTAGCTGCCTGGAAGAGGCAACTCCAAGCAGGGTCTTATAGATCAAATAGGAGCAAGTACAAGGGTGGGGGTGATGGGGAGGAGGGCCTTTCCTGCAGCAAGGACATGGTCAGATCTACCTGTTTTCTTAGGCACAGTGTGGAGGAAGGCTGAGGTGGGAGAGGGAGGAAGCTATAGTCCCCTGACAGGGTCAGGAGTGATGGGGGCAAAAACCTGCATTAGAGGCTCCTGGGAACCTGACAACCAACTGCAAGTGAAGGAAGGACTGGCACAGAGGATGCCTGGTACAGAATAGGAGCAGTGGAAGGGGTGGGGCTGAGCTGGGGCAGGGAAGGGCATGTGCACTGGGGAAGCATGGTAGTTGAATGGCCAGACAACACTCAGCAGAGATGTTACTGCTCTTAGCTACTTGGTCTCAGCTCAGGAGAGAGGGAGACACTGACCAGGCACCAGACTGGCAGTGCCAGGGTCAGGAGCAGATCTGCAGGAGACTCAGAACACACTACACCTCAGAGGATGGAAGGGCCCAGGAAGGACCCTGAAGAGTGGCCAGTGCGGCAGAGGGACCCAGAGCAGCACCTTAGCACAAAGGAGATTTCTAGGAGCAGTGAGCAGTTTTTGTTGAGGGGAAGATGAGATATTAAAAAAAAAAAACCAAAAAAAAAAAAAAACAACTGTCTAAGGGAGACTCTTCCACTTCCTATGTGTGGAGCAGGGAATGTTTCTCCCTTTTCTCCCTACTTTATCCTATCGTACTAAAATAAATCTTTGCTTATTTAAAAAACAAAACAAAGAAACTCTTTAGAGCTGGAGGTATGCCTCAAGTGGTAAAGTGACTGCCTAGCAAATGTGAGGCCCTGAGTTCAAACCCTAGTACAAAAACAACCAAATTGTTTATACAACAATCCTTCATTCACACAGAAAAACATGAACTAAAAGGGAGTGAGGGTGGGAGGGCAAGGTGTCGCTTTCTAAGCGCACACTAGTACTGTGGAGTTCACTCTTCCATCCCCTTTACCTGTACATGTAATGTGAATATTCTTAGTTATAAAAATGGGCCCATGCCCCTTGCCCCACCCTTTCTTACATGTACATGTCATGACTCTTCACCTCAATCCTCACAAAACCATGTATCACTGTTGATATCATGATTCCCTGGGTTCTGGGGAATGCAGACCCCAGTGGTCAGTTGGACATTCAGGGAAATACCAACATCTGCTACACACCTAACCCTGCAGAGACCTCCTTACATATCCCTTCCAATACTTCAGCACTCTCCCCTTGGACACAGTCCCAAAATAAAACTGGCTGCACAGAAGGTGACCAAAGGACCTTGTGAAAAGGTTGTCCCAACAGAAAATAAGCTGCTGGCACTGGCAAGAGCAGTTTCAATGCTGTCATGACACTAGGATCATAGCTAGAGATTCTGATTCAGGGATTACTGGGCCCAGAACATGGCCAAGACTGGGTCAGGTTAACACTCATAGTGGCAACACCTGGTTTCTTTCCCCAAATAGAAAAGCTCTGTACTCTGACCTGTGCGCCAGAACCAGGTCCCTGTAGAGGTCTATGGCTATGACATAAAGGGTGGATAGGACAGTGTTCAGAGCTGTGGCCCTGCCTACCTTAATCATGTCATCCATGATGTGCACGTCAAAGCCTTCACAGTCACCACAGGGGCTCCGGATCCGCCACAGGTCCTATGAGGAAAGAAGAGCCCTGCCTACATCCACCAGGAGCCACAAGGAAGTATGGTGACGAGAAAGATCAAGAGGCCAGAAAGAACTGTGCTGTTCCTGCACAATTGGGGCAGACTACCTGGGCTGAAGGGACACAGAGACCAAAGAGCCAGGGTAGTTTCAGTAACAGACTAACATGATGCCAAATCCTCTCCTCTAAGGGGACAATCAGCCAGAGCTACCACCAGGGTTCAGTTTACGCTTCCTGTCCAGAACAACCATAGTGCTATTCTTTTGGGAGGAAATCTGTAAGCAGCTTTCCAAGGCATGGGGATGATGGAGAGGAAAAAGCTCAGAAGGACACTCTGGGCTTCTATCCTCTCTCTCCTGGGACATATGCCTGGGAATAAGTGTCCTTCTCTACAGCTCCTCTTTGGCCATGAGAAACAGAATTCATGAGGAAATCTGATTAGGTAGAAATCAGAAGAAATGCTCAGAAATCGAGTGACGGAGCCACTCCGCTCCTATAGAGACATTCTTTTTCTTTTTCCTTTTTTTGATTTTTTTGGAGATAGCGTCTTTTTACGCAGCCCAGGCTGGCCTGGACCTCGCAATCCTCTTGGCCTCAGCCCCCCAAGTATTGGGATTTTATATGTGCACCACCACACTGGCTTAGATAGAGCCATTCAAAAGAAATATCAAATGCAATTTATTCTACATTTCAGGTTAAAAGCACTTCAAAATCCTTTTAATAAAAAATGCCTTTCCCAAAATGACTGCGACTGTGGTTCTGCTTTGATGAGAAAATTAAAATGAAGCTTTTCAATTTCTTCTCTCATAAAGAAGCTGACTCCCCATCTCCAAACGCTTTAACAACTGGAGCCTTTGCTCTTAATGAAAGCAGAGTGAGCTGCACAGCATGTCTCCCGAAACGCTTAATCTATATTTTTTAATTATTCTGATAAGCTGCGATTGTAAAATGACAACACATAGCCATTTCTATTTCATATGTCAAATTACTGCTTTTTAAAGACACAGGCTGACTCTCTTCAGCTCTGTGGTACACTGACTCAGAAAAGGCTCAAGTTATGAAGGCCCAAGTCATTCTATCTGCACCCAAGGGCTCTTCAAGAACACGGGTTTCCCACCCTCCTTCTGCTTTGGTGTTTTGCAAAGCCTTCTGGGTGGCCTACCCTGAACTCCACAATCATGGCATGCAGCGAGGCAGCCAGGGGCATCACCACGGCACCAGGTCCCAGGTGCTGATCCACAGCAGTGCGGACATACCAGAAGTACAGGTTGTGCCATGGCAGCAGACTGGTAGTGAAGAAAGGTTCACCAAGGAGGAGGGAGACCTGGTGACCAGAGCAGAAAGCAGGACTCAGGTTTCCGAAGTTCTCAGTTGACAACTGAAGGTCAAATAAGCAATTTCATAGAAACATGGAAGTAATAGGCCATTCATCCATCTATCCATTCATTCATTCATTCACTCAATCAGTCAACAATAAGCCCGCCAAGTCTGTACCTACCTCTGAAGATACAAGAGAAAGACATGAGTATAGCCCTCAGAAGTGCAGATAGAAAGAGGGACACAGACAAGGATGGGAGCTGACCTCATGTGACAGAAGCAAGGAAGGGCTGCATGTATGGGTTCCAGAATGGCATCCTGCCAATCCCCACTCAAAGCTGTATCACCCCACTATCAGTGTTGGTTGAACTCTGTTGCTCTCACTGGGTTCAAGCACCACACAAGGGTGATACCAGCAGCACAGTATCCCCAGCACCCAGGATAGTGCCTGGGAGGGCTAATGTTCAGTAAACATTTGCTGAGTAAACAGATGAATAACTAGGAGTCAGAAAAGCCACAGGAATGGGAAAATGTCAAGCAAGGAATGAGTGAGAGCAAGGCCTTCCAGGAACTTGTGAGATGATATAGAGGGCAGAACAGTAAGGGAAGTCAGAGATGAAGACAGAAACCAGATCACTTGGACTGGAGGTGTGGCTCAAGTGACAGAGCACCTGCTTTGTAAGCATGAAGCCCTTAATTCAAACCTCAGTACCACAAAAAAAAAAAAAAAGAAACCAGATCACTCAAAGGCAGTTGATGACAGGTTAAGGGGACTTAATTCGCCCTGGAAGCAAGAGGAAGTCACCAGGGTTCAAAATGAGGACTGTATTTTACAAGATCCTTCTGAAGACCATGAAGTATGTGGGGAGAGCTCTGTAGGTAGAACTGAGGACAAGAGGTGACTCAGGTGAGTGTTGCAACATTAAGGCTGGAGGGTAGGGGGATAGTATGGTACAGAAAGGGAGGAGAGGAAGCCAAGGTCTCAGGGGATGGAAATGAGGGGAGACACAATGGAAATACTGGAAGCAAGAACAGGATTGGCCATGAGTACCTCCCTGCCCCCACCCCTCACCCAACAGTGGCAACAAAGTGTAAATGCTTACTCTCACCAATTTATTCAACAGGAACCTAAAGTCTGGCCAGCATACCATAGAAATGACTTACAAATTTAATTATCTTCTAAACCCTCACCTGGGGGAGAAAAAAATGACAACTTGTATTTGAATGTTCACAGTAGCACTATTCATGACAGCCTAAAAGTGGAAGCAGCACAAATGTCTATCCTGATAAAGGGATAAATAAAATGTGATCTATTCATCCAATAGATTATAAAAAGCAATAAAAAGAGATGAAATAGGCCAAGTATGGTGGCATACACCTGTAATTTCAGCTACTCCGGAGGCAGAGGTAGGAGGATCAAGGTTGTAGACTAACCTGGGCAAAGTTAGCATGAGACCCTATCTGAGAAAGAAAAAGGACTGGAGGTATGGCTCAAGTGGTAGAGCACCTGCCCAGCAAACTCAAGGTCCTGAGCTCAATCCCTAGTATAGCAAAAAAGGAAGTACTAATTTGTGCTACAATATGGATGATCCCTGAAAGTATTACCTGGGCTGGAGGCATGGCTCAAGTGGTAGAGCACTTGCTTAGCAAGTACTTAACCATGAGTTCAAGTCTCAGTATCACAAAAAAAAAAAAAGTATTACACTAAATGAAAGCAGTCAGTCACAAAAGGCCAATGTTGTATGACTCCATCTGTATTATTTGCCCCAGAACAGGCAAACAGAGACAGAAAATAGATTTTCTGTCCCGTGGAGACAGAAAATAGATTAGAGAGTACCCTAGGGCTCGGAGCACTGGGGACAAATAGGGAGCAACCATTAATGAAAATGGAGAATCTTTTTAGACTAATAAAAATGTCCTAATTTTGATCTGGTGATGGTTGCACAATCTTATGGATATACTAAAATCACTGAATTCTATACTTTAAAAGAGTTAATTGTATGGTACATGAATTAAGTATCAATAAAGCTATACTAAAAGAGACAAGATAAGTGTTGGAGAGGATAACAAGAAACTGTCCCATCACACTGATGGGATGTATGGTGCAGACACCCACATAACACTTTAGCAGTTTCTTAAAAACTTAAACATAATCACCACACAATCCAGTAATTCCATGCCTAGGTATCTGCCTAAGAGAACTGAAAATATATCTTCAACAAAAACTTACACGGCAATGTTCATAGCAGAATTATTCAAAATTGCCCAAACTGGAAATGACACAAATGTCTACCAACAGGTGTACAGATAAACAAAATGTGGCAGATTCTTACAATGGGATATTATTTATCATTAAAAAGGAACAAAATACTGACACATTCCACAACAGATGAACCTCAGAGACATGCTCAGTGACAGAATCCTGATGCAAAAGACCATGCACTGCAGTATTTTGTTTTTATGAAATGCCCAGAAACAGCAAATGTATGAGAGAGAAGCCAGAGCAGTGAGTGCCTGGCTCCAGGGAATGGGTATAGTGTACTGACTGACCACAAACAGGATGTAAGGGGTTTAAGCAGAAATGCTCTAAAATGTGTAACTCTACATTTACTAAAAACCACTGAATTATATATTTCAAGTGGCTTAATTTTATAGCATATCAGTTACATCCTAATAAAGCTGTTACATTAAAAAAAGAAGAAGAAAAGGTTGGCAGAAGATAAAGGATGACAGGTTGTATTTTAGAAGAGTCCAGCTTGTGGGATTTTTCAAGAAAAGGTAACAGGTTGGTTGAATATAAGAGATTTGAATATAAATGCAAAGAGGTCTACCCACAGTAAAAACCAACTTTCAGAGTAACGGGTTCACACATGGGAAGGGATGTGATTACCCAGCCAGAAAACACAGCAGGAAGGGAGAAGGACAAAGGGAGAGTGCCAAAAAATAGCATGAGGGAAGGACTGAGTAAAGAGAGAGAACCACGAAGAGGTCTGAGAAGGAGCGGGGCAGAAAGTTAAGAGCGAAAAAAACCCGGGACAAGTAGTCTCTTAGGAATGGAGAGGTGGCCCAACAATCAAAGCAGCAGGAGCCTACAGGGAGACTGTGCTTAGTAACTCCAAGATCCCCTGACAGGATGGGTTCTGTAGGCTGGAAGAGCAACTGTGGTGGAAGACATGACATGAATAGGAAGAAGAAATGAAGACAGGGGTGCTGTGAAGGAAAAATCGAAGACAAGTGGGAAAAGAAGACAGGTACACTTTGCTCCTTAACTCCAACAGGCTGCTCCACCTTCACCTGAGGAACAGATGAGCCTGAGTTCAGAGGATCACAGTTCTCTGCTCACTGGGCCTCAACAAATATTTTACCCGTCTTCACTGTGGCGAGGTCTCAGGGGTGAATTCTGTGGGGTGCATCAAACACCAAGAGGCCCAGAGGACAGGGTACAGCTGGGCTATCTCAGTGCTGGCCCGCCCCCTACTCACACAGCCCCAGGGACTGAAAGGCTCTCAGTCCTCACCTTCTTACCCTCCAGGTCTGCAGATGTTAGCAACTCAGGCCGTTTCTCAATGATACTAATTTTATCTTCCAAGTGGTTAGCCTTGAACATCTTAGAAAGAAAATGGCACAATTACTGCATTTATACTAAAGTACTGTTTTGGTCTAGGAAAAAAAATCTCAGACTGAGGGTGTAGTTCAGAGGTAGAGCACCTGCCTAGTGTATTTCAGGCCCTGGGTTTGATCCCAGAGGAGGGAAGGAGAGGGGAGGTAGAGAAGGGATCATTCAATTCTAAGCTGCAAAGATTTTAGTTTTCTGAATTTCACATGGAATGAGGAGAAAAGCCTAAACTTCAGCCACAAAAGCTGAAGCAGAGCCAGGCACTGGTGGCTCACACCAGTAATCCTACACCTATAATCCTAGTTACTCAGGAAGCAGAGATCAGAAAGGTTGAGGTTTGAAGCCAGCCCAGGCAAATAGTCCCTGAGACCCTATCTTGAAAATATCAAGCCCCAGAACACCTACTAAAAAAAGCCAAAGCTGAGCCCAAACATTTGCTTGTTTTGATGTCAGCCTTTCTGAAAGCAAGCTCTCCAGGCAGGAAGCCATGAAGCAGGGCTTTCAATGCAGCAGTTACTTCTCCCAGCTCCTCGATTCCTATGTTGCTGCAAAGCTACCTATCCCAACTCAGGAAGGCAGGTCCCATGGGTACTGTTAATTCAGTGATAATTGTCACTTACCCTTTTCATCAGTTTATGGGAAGCTGCTGAACTTTCAATTGTAAATACCTAAAGAGAACAACATGCTGTGTTACGAGAGATGCATTTAGCAGAAGAAGAAATTCAAAATGAAAATGTGATAAGACCATTCTAAAGCAGACAATGCAGCCTAAACAACTCTGCCCGTGATATTTACAACACAGAACCCTGGGCTGCAGCTACCTGGTAGTAGATATTGCCTGACTCCTGGCCCCACACGCAGTCAAAATTCTTTGGCCCCAAACCAAGCCTGTTCCATACAACAGCTGCACTTGCAAGAGCTTTGATTGCAGAACCATGTGCCTGGACCACCCAATGTCCTTACTCAAGGGCCAACCTTAAAAGATGAAAAATAGCCAGGGACTGGTGGCTCATGCCTGTAATCCTAACTATTTGGATGCTGAGATTGGGAGGATTGTGGTTTGAGGCCAGCCTGGGCAAACAGTTCATGAGACCCAAGCAAAATGGATTGGAGGTGTGGCTCAAGCAGTAGAGTGCCTACTCTGCAAGCATAAAGCGCTGAGTTCAAACCTCAGTCCTACCACAAAAAAAAGGTGAAAAGTAAGTGGAAGAGAGAGAGAGAAAAAACAAACCATCCTTAGGAAGCTGATAGGAAGGTATGTGTCTAGTACCTGCTCTGCCCCAAGGTGATGAGCCATCATGGAGAGCAGACTGCCATCACTGACACAGAGGCATATGCTGTCTGGTGTCAGCACCTGTGGGAAAAGAGTAAATTGAGAAAGGTTTCCTCAGTTTGTCTAGAGATTCCTGATGACAAACTTACAGAAATGCTTCCTTCCTCCAAACCCTACTCACAGACTGACCATTACGTCGGAACTCCAGGCTGGATTCCCTTGGCCTCCATGCTGTCATGCTGCCTGCTGGGCCCATGTAGTACCCAGTCCAGCCTTTACTCACATCTTCCACCAATGCCCACTACCAGGAAAGACCTTTCTCAACCCAGCCAGAAGCCTGGCCTCACTTGCAGGAAGTCATCTCTAAGTCTACAATGGGGCAGCCATCTGCCCCAAGTGTTCTTAAGTGTCTACCAAGGCAGGGATGTCTTTATGGACCATACACCTCTCAGATAGGAGCTTATGACAGCTTGGATCCTTCCTCCCCTTGAAAAATACATACACATGCACAAGTGCACACTTATTCCTGTCACAACTCCAAGACCCCCTCCAAACCCGATCTGGGACCCCCAGCAGAGTCCTCTATTACAGGCAACAGGGAGCAAAGGTTTTCAGGCCAGAGAGTTCCATGGTCAGATTTACATTTTAGAAATTTTAGAGCTGGAGCCAGTGGCTCATGCCTGTAATGCTAGCTACTTGGGAGTCTGAGATCAGGAGGAATGAGGTTTGAGGCCATACTGAGAAAATAGTTGGAGAGACCCCATCTTCAAAATAACAAGAGCAAAATGGAAATCACAAGCACAGTGGAACACTTACAGTCCGTAGAGCCTGGGCATACTGATCAGTTCTGTCCTGATTATTTATCTCTCCAAACCGAGGCCGGTTCCAGAGGAGGTGAGCTTGGCAGTCACACACAGGGCGCAATTGGTGGACTCTGCCATTCTCTTCAGGGCTAGGCCAGAAGATGAAAAGACAGTCAAAACTGATTAAGCATGAGCCACAAGGCACCAGACAGCATAAGGGCATGGCAACAGGACCTGCCCAGCAGAACTCGACCTGGGCCCAGGGACTATATCCACAGGTCTCTAGAGGACCCAAGTCTAGACATCAGCTGTCAAGTAGGCATCAGCAATTACAGAACCCTCTGATTCCAGGCATTTCATGTGTTTGAAATAGGGCATTACAGTACCCACTGTAGCCTCTGAGTACACATATACACACAATGACAAATCTCCTCAAAAGCCTTTGATTGTATTTTAGTCAAGATTAAATCTGCCCACTCACATCTCCACAGGATCTGTACATGGGAAATTTATACCAATGCCCAGTCTGCAAGGCCCAGTCCTCTACTCCAAGGCATACCTGGTCCTCTGAAGGCTGTACCATACACAGTAGTCATCATGGTGGGCTACCAGGCAGAGGGCTGCACCCTGTACAACGGGCTCCTCTTGTGGCAAGAAGTACACACACTGCATCCAATGGTCCCGCCACTGAAATGAGCAGAGAGCCAGCTGTCACCAAGCTGCAACAAGAACAACACTTCTAATCCAGTGGCCAAAAGCCAGGCCAATTTGCAAGGAGACACAGGCACAGACTTCAGCTGGCTACTTTGGCTTAAAAGATAAAGAAAACATTTTCTAATCAGATGGGCCAGTGGCCCAAAAGCTTGCTGGAACCCTGATGGCTTTAGAGAGGCACACTGTGGCCAAGGGCAGTAGTTTTCTAGGGTGGCTCAGAGAGAGGTTAAATTCAGGCTCCAATCCCTACCCACAAAGCAGCGCCAATGCTCTATCAAACCTGTTGGGCTGTGTATAACATTTCATTTGAAGGAAAAATTCCTGGCTCACCACTAAGGTCTAACTTAGTGATCTGGAAGAATCCCGTGGCACATATTCCACAGTTTTTTAACATACTCAAGAATTTTCTTTTGTCTTCTAAGTGGCTTCAAAACACAAAAAGGTAAACTATAACACATAAAACCTTGCTAGAAAACCCTTGTTCCTTCCTATTATTGCTTATACTCTCTCTTCAACTAAATTAGAGATAAGGGCAAAATAGTTTCTGCTGGGTATTGAGGGGGTGGGAGGGAGAGGGAGGGGGCGGAGTGGGTGGTAAGGGAGGGGGTGGGGGTGGGGGGAGAAATGACCCAAGAATTGTATGCACATAGGAATAATAAAACAATAAAAATTTTTAAAAAATAAAAATAAAAATAAATAAAAATAAAACCTTGCTAGATCCTAGGTTGGGAAAATAAAATTTACTAATAAGAGACATTTGGAGACAATTAAGAAAATTTTACTTTCCATCATTTCATATATTATTATAGAATTATTATTAAATTTTCTTAGGTCTATAATGGTATTTCATTTATGCTGGAGATCTGCTTTCAAATGATTTGGCAGAAAATTATGTGTGTATGTGTGTGTGCAAGTAGACAGAGATAAAAGGAGGGAGACAGAGGAAGGAAAGGAAAGGAGATAAAGTACTTGTGACAAATGCTAACAACTGGGAAATTTAAGTAAAGGGAGTATCAGTATTAATTTTCACTTACTATGTGAATTTACAAACCTGCGAAACAAGAAGTTGGGAAAATACACAAAGGTTTTGTTTGGTTTATTCCTTTGAATTAAATGAGGTTTTTTAAAGACCTGGAATACTCTAAATTGTGAAATATGATTTATAGTGATTCAGAGTCAACTCTTAATTAACTTTTTGCAGTGCTGGGGCTGAAGTCCAGGGCATTACAAATGCTAGGCTCTACCACTAAGCTACACCCTCAGTCCCAGAGACAACCTTTAATAAATTGTGCTGATCCTCACGTAAATTCCACATATAGGATAAGAAAAACAAGCAATAAAGAATAAACTACATGCACACCACAGAATTATTTATACTAGCAAAAACTGGAATCAGCCCAAGTATCCAGTGACTCAGTAAGTCCTACGCAGGATACTAACTAACATTTAAAATGATGAAGACTGTGATACAGCATGAGGTTGCACTAATGACAAAATGCTAAAGAGGTTAAGCATTGACAAAAACTGCATTTGGAAAGAGACCCTAGAAAGGTAGTTATTATTTTTCTTTTTCTTTTGGCAGTACTGGAGTTTGAACTCAAGAGTCTCACGCTTGCTAGGCAGGTGCTCTAGTGATGTAAGCTACATCGCTAGCTTGTTATTTGTTCCTATACTACACAAATTTGTCTGAAAACAGAACCCTTTCTGATCTTTCCTGTGCTCCCAGGGTACTTCCCTACCATCTGTCCTTCCCATAATGCTCACACAGGGAACCTCCTGGGTCCTAATGCCAAAGAACTGGTGACAGAACTCCTAACCAAAAGTGACACAGGCTAATGGGGTTTCATGAATTCATGAGGGAGATTCAATCAGTTTTCAAATTCCTAATAGTCTAAAAGTCATCAGTGGAATAGAAAGGATATAAGACCTAAGACAGACGATCAGGGAACAGACCAGTGGTAGAGTACTACAGCTTCCTAGACACCAGGCCCTGCAACCGTCCTTTTTTATTTTCTTTTGTCTTGCAGTACTAGGGATTGAATCAAGGGCCTCATGTTTGCTATGCAAGCTCTCTCCATTTGGAACATACCTCTAGCCCTTTTGTTTGCATTTTGTTTTTTAGTTAGGGTCTTGCCAGTTTTCCCTGGACTGGCCTTAAACTAGCAGTCTTCCTGCTTCTGCCTCCTGAGTAGCTGGAATTGCAGCATGCCTCACCATGCCTGGCTTCCAGGCCTGTCCTTGAGTCCTTTTTCTATTAAGTCAGGATTGTGGCGAGTATCCCACATCCATGTCATTCTTGCAAATCTACCCAGAACCCCGACCCATCGTCAATCCACCAGGATTTACTGGGCCACCTGTGCTCCATGACCATGGGTTCTTTTTTTGAGGTAGTGGAGTTTGAACTCAAGGCCTAGCTACTGCTAGGCAAGCACTCTACCACTTGAGCCAAGCCCTCAACTCCATGGATGCTTGATGGTTTCACTTTCCTGCTCTTTCCCCCAGCCTCACCAAGAATGTGCCATCAAATTTTTTTTCTTAACTCTATTCACTAGAAGATGAAAATGAAACTGGTATCTCAATGCAATTTATGTTTTTTTTTTTCATTGCAGTTTAAAGTTGCATCTCTCCTATCACAACCTATATGAACAATTTATTGTACATTGAAGAATAATCTGTATTTCCTTTTCTGTAGTTCATGTCCTCTGCCAATTCTACACTGACCTGGAGAAGATGAATTCAGAGGCCACAGGAAGGGAGGCTGTAATTCTCTACTCCAAGTATCTGAGCCCCCTACGATTACTCCTGGTGGTGGGTGGTGAGATCTGAGTAGCTGTGCCAGGATAAGGGAAGAGAGGCAGAGCTAATTTACAAGACTTCACTGTTGCTCACTGTGACCACTGGTGCTAACCATGAACTCACCCTGAGACGTCTGTCTTATTATAGTTAAGGTGTGCTTTTTAGTATTTATTATTATTACTTATTTTTGTAGTGCTGGGGATCAAACCCAGGGCCTCATGCATGCTAAGGAAGTGTTCTACCACTGATATTCCTAGCCTCCCTCCTCCTTTTTAAAGAGAAATTCTTCTTTGCCTTTGAATAAAGTATTGTGACCTAAAGTTCAACAGGTTGGTGGAGTGGATCAAGCGGTAGAGGCCTGCCTAGCAAGCATGAAGCCGAGTTCAAGCCCCAGTACCACAAAAAAAAAAAAAAAAAAGAAAAAGAAAAAAAAATTGAGCTGCTAACTGCAAATGGCTTCTTCCTCTATTTCTCCCTCCCTCTCCTTCCTTTTGCCAGGCACTAGTGGCTCACACCTGTAACCCTAGTTACACAGAAGGCAGAGATCAGGAGGATCGTGATTAGAAGCCAGCCTGGGCAAATAGTTCTTGAGAGACCCTATCTCGAAAAACCCTTCACAAAAAAAGAGCTGGTGGAGTGGCTCAAGGTGTACGCCCTGAGCTCAAACCCAATACTGCAAAAATAAACAAATAAATAAAAATAAAAATAAAGTTCAACAGGCTATTTTCCTGTGAATGAATGTTTCCTTCCATAAAAACGTGCTCAGTTCCTGAGTCTTACCTGAAGGCCCTCTGGGTCTGACTGTGCCCAAAAAGGGGCCATGGTACACCTGATCTTCCCCTCAGGGTCCATTTCAATGTCCCACCAGGAGAGAACCACCTGAGCCTGGCCAGATCTCAGAGGTTCAAATTGCTTGCTGTAGCAGGCTGCTGAGCTACTGACTTGCTTGCTGAAGTCCACACTGTGGAAGAATATTCAGAAACTGAAGCATCATTTAACCTTACACACTCCATTGTTAAGCTTCTATGGTGACCTCACTAGGAATGATACTTGGTTTCAAAAGACTCAGCTAGGTTTTCTTCCCAAGCAAAACGAACTTCCAATGGCCCACATTTCCATCAAATGTCTCAAAGCACTATCACCCGAGGAGACTCCTTGGTACCTGAACATAGGTAGCACATCACTGAGGAGAGTGAAGTCAGAAGATGACACCTGGTTCAGCTGAATGTCATAGACAGAGGGTGCACCAGGGCACCTCTCTAGTTCTGAGGGAGGGACAATGACTTGCTCTCCGAAGCTGGTCTGAACATGAACAGGAAACAGCTTGTTCCATGACCACATCCTTCTAGACTCCACCAGCTGGGCATAGACTGTTGCTCTGTGAGGCACTGCCTCACAATTTTCCTAATTTAAATTAAAAAGCAAAAACATACAAAAATTCAGGTATCTGATCCACAGTGATTCCAACTGACCTTAGTAGGCCAATTTAGCACCTCTAACCCTCCCACTATCAGGATAGGGAATTGTTTTCAGCCCCATGCCCTTGGGGAAAGGATAAAAGAGAAACTAGATTTAAAAAAAAAAATGCACGTTATGCCTTAAATTCACAATCCTCCTGTCTTAGCTTCCTGAATACGGGATTACAGGCATGTGCAACCATGCCCAGTTTGATTTTTTATTATTTTTTTGAAAGGCAGAATCTTACCATGTACAGTTCAGGCTGACCTTGAAGTCCTGATCCTCCTACCTCAGTCATCCAAGTGTTAAAATTATTTAAGTCAGGTAAGTTCCTAGCTACGTGGCACTATTTAATACTTCAAAAGATAAACTTTAATTGTCATCATGCTGAGGACTCCTACACTGACTTGGAAGACGGTCCAAGTCTCACTACCAAGCAGCACTCAAGAGTGCTCATTCAGCACAACTCATGCCAGGCACCAGGACCAGAACCACATTACTGCAATGTCCAACGCACAGCCACCCACCCTTACCTGTCCTGACTCGCTGGTTTTACCCAGCACTGCTCAGTATTCTTCCAGTTTCTTTCTAGTGCTCCTCCTACCTCATTCATTCCCTCATTCTACATTCTCTACGTAACAGGCCCTGGATGCCCAGCAGTGGCGAGTGTAGTCACTCACAGCTGCCATCCCAGAAAATTATTAGCACAGGGCTTTTCCACCTCAGCAATATTGGCCACTTGAGCCACATGCTTCCCAGATATTGAGGGTGTCCTCAACTGAAAAGAGAGGGGCTAACAGCTGTGCTGAGCATGGTGCAGCAGCTAGCACTGTGTGGGTACCAGCTGTGATAACAGCCACATGCCTGAAGAAGGCTTTGGGTATGCTACCTGCACAAGATGCCTGTGCGCGTGCTCATAGGAGGGCAGTGCTCCCTCCCCAATCAGTTCTGTGTCAAACAGCTCAGTGACCAGAATGTTGGCACGGCATGACATGTCACCATCTGAAAACACAAGGAAACAAAGTCAGAAACAAGCAACAGACTAGAAAAATATTTACAGTAAATATGTGAAAGATATGATCAATAGGTGTTTACATTGAAAACACATGCATATATTTGAAATACTGTGCCTGCAACTGAATTCTGAATGGTTCAACAGTGACAAAAATTCATATACAGCTAGGCATGATGGAATATGCTTATAATCCCAGCACTAGGGAGGTGGAGGCAGGAGCATCAAAAGTCCAAAGCCTAGGATATGTAGTTTCAAAAAAACAAAACAAAACACACACACACACACACACACACACACACACACACACACACACAGATGACATACATATGGAAAAATGTAACTGGTAAATACAATGTCAGGGAAAATGGATACCTCACTGCTCTTTGAACTTTTCTATACATTTAAGATTGGGGTTGTGGGACACCCTCATTTGGGGATCCCTCCTAGCTCTGGGAGCTATACTTTCTGCTACTTTTCTAACTCAATAAAATCTCCCACTTTGCTAACAACAACAACAAAAAATATATTGAAGCTGTGGAAGACTTGGAAAAAATGATAAGAAAACTGTAAGTACCCCAAAACAAAACCAGATAAAAATACAAATTGTACTGCTGAAGGTGTGGCTCAAGCAGTAGAGTGCCAACCTAGCAAGCACAAAGCCCTTAGTTCAAACCCCAATCCCATTAAAATCAGTTAAATATATGGAAAATTTTCCATCCTTACTAGCAAAAATCATTGGGAGAGCAAAAACTGAATAGTGCTACTCTGAATACTTCCAGACTAGAGAGAGAGGGAAGGAAAACCAAAGCAAGAGAGAAAGACCCAGTCACCATGAGTTCAGCTACCAACATTGAGATCCATGATTTAGAATGCCCAGATTCTTTCTATTAAATCCTCTTATTTAAGTTGGTGTCCTGCTACCAAAGAATCTCCCAAATAACACCAGTTTTGGCTCTTTTGTTAACTGTTTCTAAACCTCTGTAATGTAATGTTACTTCTATAATTATAATTTTTAATGAGCAAGAGATAAAATTGACTTTGGAAAGGGTTATTCATCATGGAGAATTAACTGTAAACATTTTTAATGGCTCATGAATTACAATTTGACAAAGCCCACTCATCTTCACTATACAGGGGAAGAGTTTCACCACTATACAGGGGAAGAGTTTCACAGATGATGCTAGAAAAGTAAAATATTTAAATGGTTCAGAGAAGGGTGTAGTGGAAAGAGCTTGAACCTGGAGTCCTAGAGATCTAATCTGTATCCTGTTTTCTTGCCCTGAGCCCTCAGCTTTCTAACCATCAATTGCCTCATCTATAAAAAGGAGGTGGGAATGGGGGTGGGAATGAGCTCTGTCTCAAGAAGTGGTGGTTAGGGTAACAAAAGTAAAAACAGTTGCGCTCCATAGCACTGTGAAGTAAGACAGAGATTTAGAAGAAACTCAATTTCCTGGCAGAGACCACCCACCCAAGTGGCCCAGCCCAACCTCTCAAATGTTATGTCAAACTTCAACTGAATTACACTATTCAAAGATGACCTACCCTCAATGCCACCTACCTGCTACTCCCTGTGGTGTTTCTGCCTCACTAAATGGCAGCTTCATATTGTCCAGAAAATGGCATCATTACTATCTCCAGGAGAGTAGCGATCCTGCCTGCACTGTTCACCACCTTATTCTAGAGCCTAGAAGAATGCCTAATACCCAGTAAGAGTCAACAAACACAAGCATAAATCTTCATTCCTCCCTCTGTCATCCTATAGTCAATCAATCACCAAGCCCTGCCAATTCTATCTCCTGAGTAATTTTAAGCCAATTATGTAATAAGATGATTGAGCATCCAAATTTGCCTCATTAAAATAAAAACAAAGCCTTATGAACCAGTGAATTTTATCAAATAATATAGCATGAGAGTGCTAATATATGGGGGTGGGCAATGCAGAGGTGCCTAGGTATGTTATAAATCTTTGCTACATGATGGATAGATGGATGAGTAACTGCTACACATGCTCAGTGTATAATCCATTTTTGGGCAATAGGCAACAAACTAGATGCCACTGTAAGGATGGCTGAGATTAGAACATTTGAGACAGAAAGTAACGAAGAACCACCAAGATTGGGAGATATCACTGGGTCCAGAAAGAGAAAGATTCAGGGAGGTCAAAATGGCAAAGAACCAACACTATAACAGTTGGAAAGGGGAAGCAGAGACACACCCAACATGGTAACAAGAAAGCCACATGTTGAGATGGGGGATTAGAAACAAAGTCCTGGATAGGGTGCAGCTCAGTGGCAGTGCTTACCTAGCATGTGCAAGGGTCTGGCTTTGATCCTCAGCACCAGAGTGGGGTGAGGCTGGGGGGGATGTACCACTTACAAGGAGGTACAGAACAAGTAAATTTGACAATCTACTCACCAAACAAGTATCTCTGAATTCCTTTATGTGCAGATAATGAAATGCAATGATTAATAAGATCTACACAGCCCATTCATTACCTCATGTCTTGGCTGTGTAGCAGTACAGACATTAAATGTAAAACTACTTAAATATTTAGTTATTGCAGCAATAAATGCTCCAAACAGAAAGTATGAGGGAAGCCCATGAGGGGACTGGCCTAATCAGGGTGTGTGTGAACACCATGTCTTGGAAGGAGGCATGAGGCAGAGTCACAGAGCTCCACGCAAAGGCTCCCTTATAGGTTGGTCTCCATGCTGTCAAGCCAACTTCCAAAAATGAATGATCCTGGAGCTGGACATAGTGGTGCACACCAAGCCTGGATAGGCTTAGGCAAAAGACCCCTTCTGTGCCAAGTGCTGGTGGCTCACGCCTGTAATCCTAACTATTCAGGAGACAGAGATCAGGAGGATCACAGTTCGAAGCCAGCCCCAGCAAACAGTTCTCAAGATCCTATTGTGAAAAACCCTTCACAAAAAAGGGCTGGTGGAACAGTTCAAGGTGTAGACCCTGAGTTTAAAACCCCAGTTCCACCACCAAAAAAAAAAAAGGTCTGGTCTAAACAGATGAAGTAAGTACTTCAGACACTAAATAAGAAGGTAGACATAAGAAAATGAAGGTAGACATGGTGGTGCACACCTGTAATCCCAGTTACTTGGGAGGTGAGGCAGGAGAATCACAAGGCCAGCCTGAGTAAAGTTAGTGAGACCCTGTCTCAAAAAAACCCTAAAGGGGCTCGAAGCATAGCTCAAGGTAGAGTGAGAAATGAACCAAGTGGACTGGTCTGACCTTTGGCCAAGACGCTTTTTCCAGCCATGAGAAGTAATGCAGAGCAAGTCCTGCTGAGCTCCACAAGACAGAAAATAGAGTTCAGGGAAGCGGAAGCAGCTAATCTGCCAGGGAGACAGCCAGAGAGAAAGTTACACAGAAAAAGGACTTGACAGCCCTGCCTAGGGCTCCTCTTAAATCTGTGATTCAATCTATTCATACACACACAGGCTAAACTCTGTAAGGTGAAGCAAAGAAAGGGTGACAAGTGAACAATTTCCGGAGCTCTCAGAAGACTGGGAAACACTCAAATTCTGAACAGCCCAGACTAGAGAATCCTTGCTGAGCAACTCAAGGCACTCAGCAGAGACCCCAGCAAGGTCATGCCAGGATAGCCTGGCCAAAGTAGACTTAGAACAGTAGTTCCCAACAGGTGGTACTTTTTTCTTGGCCCCATGCAGAGCTATCTGGCAGTGCCGGGAAACATTCTCAGCACAAATGGTGGAAGAAGGGGAGTGCTCCTGGCATCTTACTGGGTAGAGGCCAGGGATCAACTAACCATCCTACAAAGCATGGGATAGGGATGGCAGAAAACAGAAATTTTCACCAGGCCCAAAATGTCAGCAATGCTGTTGCTGAGAAACCCTGACTTAGAGCTATCCTAATCTGCTCCAACAAAGCTTATAGACAAGTCTTAAAGGAATTAAACAAATGCAGGTGATCCAGCTGCATGCCAGACAGCTTTAAAGACAACAAAATCTAGGATTCCCAACAACCCACAGCATCCAAATAAAAATTAGGAGACAAATGAAAAAAGAAAACAGCCGAGAACCAGGATAAAAACTAATAAGTAGAACAAACCCAGAAAATACAGAGATGGTAGTAACAGAAGAATATGAAAACTGCTGCGTGGTATGGTGGTACACCTGCAATCCCAGCACTTGGGAAGCTGAGGCAGGAGATTCTGAGTTTGAGGCCAGCACAGACTATAGTCTCAACTAAAAATATAGATATATTAAACCTTTAAAACTAAATGTTACATACTTGAAGGAAAACATGAACATAAATAATGAGGAAAATGAAAATTATACAAAAGAAACAAATGGAACTTTTAGAGATTAAAAAAGAAAAAAAAAACAAAAACCCACAATCAAAGTCAGAAGGATAGAAAGTTCAAGGCCAGTCTGGGCTACATAAGAGTTCCAGGCTAGCATGGGCTTATAACAAGACCCTATCTCAAAAACACAACTACAACAACAAAACTGAATCAGAAACGAAAAAGTTCACTAGTTTACTTAGCAACAGACTAGGTACTGTAAAAGAAAAGATCAGTGAACTTAAAGACCTATGAGGAGCTAGCCCTGTCCCTCCACGGGTGGAGGGGTAAACAAACTGTCGTACACGTGGCATACACATATAATGAAGCACTACTCAGGAATAAAAAAGAATGAACTCTGGAGGGACAGAACAACATGCATGAGCCTCAAAAGCACTATGCTATGTAACATGGCTGGGAAGTAGTTTAATGGTAGAAAACTTCCTAACATGGGCAAGGCCCTGGGTTCAATTTCTAGACATAAAAGAATTTAAAAAGTTACACAGGGTCATGAGGAATCCTTTGGGCATGATGGAAGTATCTGATTACTTGATTGTGGGTGGTAGTCATGAGTATGTTTCTATTTGTCAAAGCTCTTCAAACTATATTCTTGCTGTCTTTTGTTTTTTGAGATAGGATCTCAGCATATGGCTTTGAACTCACGATCCTCCTGCCACAGCCTCATGAGTGCTGGGATTACAAATGTGTACCATCACATTCAGCTCTAAGATACAGTCTTAAAAAGAATACTTTCAGCAAAGTATCGTGTACCTATTTTATGATACATAGTAGAGACCATGCTTTAGCCAGAGCTGTTTTTCATGATGCTACTCCAGATGATGATTGAGAAGCTAATTAAAAAAAATAAAATGGTGCCAGGTACCATAGCAGTAACAGAACTTTGCTGCTTCTGAGGTTTTGTTTTGTATATTTCAGGTTTTCCATTAAGGTATTTTTTTGTGGCTAGGGATATAGCGCAGAGGTTTAGTGTATGCCTAGCATGCACAAGGTCCTGGATTTGATCCTTAGTACCATAAAAAAAAGTTTTTTAATTAATTATGTCTTTGTGTGGCTCAGTGCCTACCCAGAAAGTGTGAGGCTTTGAACATCAGTATCACAAAAAAAGAAAAAGAAAACATTTTTTCACAGTGCTGGAGATCAAATGCAGGGCCTTTCACTTGCTAGGCAGTGGCTTACCACTTGAGCCACACCTCCAGCCCAACTTTCATTATTTTTTTTGAGACAAGGTCTTCCTATGTAGTTCAGGCTGGCCTCAAACTCATGATCCTCCTGCCTCAGCCCCCTAAGTGCTGGAATTATAGGCATTTACCAACATGCCCAGCATAAAATACTTTTTTTAAATGGAAGAAAAATGTTGATTTTCAATAGATGCTTCAATTCTAAAATACTATATTAAAAAAAAAAAAAAACTGGTGAAAGCCACAATCTACCATAAAAGCTTTTTTTTTAATTTTGCAACTCTTTCAACTGTACCCTCCAAGTATCAAAGGGTATATGAAATTTTAGAAGTATGAATTTATCTCCTCCTGGCTAGGCAGAGATCAGGAGGGTTGTGGCTCCAAGCCAGCCCGCGGTAATTAGTTCAGAGACTCTTGTCTTGGAAAAAAAAAACCATCACAAAAAAGGGCTGGTAGAATGGCTTAAGCGATAAAATTACCTCCTTAGCAAGTGTGAGGACCTGAGTTCAAATACCAATGCCGCTAAATAAATAAATAAATAGATAGACAGATTAAAAAATAAAACTTATTCTGGACACCTCAAAAGTCTGTGCCACATAGAAAAATCAAGACAAGCAAAGTGCTTACAATCAAAGCTACCACAAAGAAGACCTGGGTCTATTTCAGGTTGTTGGAAACCATCTTTTCCTCCCTCATACAAGAACAAGGAAAACTTTGCAAACAGGACTTGTAGATCTCACCTGGCCCTACAGTCACCTCAGTGGAATGTTTGTTGATAACCTTAATCTTATCACTGAAGCCATTTTTCTCCACAATTTTCACAGCAGCATCAGCCATAGGCTTGAAAACCTAGAAATTAGAACCAAAACCCAGGAAAAACATGAACAGTAAATTTTAAAATATCCTGCACCACAAGGTTAGTAAGATATTTCTTGATTCTGGTGCTAAAATTTGTAACTTGATGCTTTATTCTTCAAATATGTGTCTGAAAATGAACATACAAAGATAAGATTCAGGTATTCAGTGCAGTCAGAAGTTCCTACTGGGGGGAAGAGGGGCATAATGGAGAAAGATGGAGTTGACGAATCTAAGATATACTTTTGTAAATGTCACAATGTCCCTCCCCCCTACAACTATAATATGCTAATACTTAAAAAAAAGGAAAAAGTAAGTTCCCATCAGGGCTGGGTCATGGCCGAAGTGGTACAGATACTTCCTAGCATGAGGCTCAGAGTTCAAACCCAGTACTGTCAAAAAAAAGCTCTCACTACATGCCATGCTGAGTGGGGATGACGGATCCTGTACCACCCAGTAAGGACAGTAGGTGTTATTGCCACGCTATGGACACTGAAGAGCAGAAAGGGGCCTTGCCTCAAAAATCTGAGGACATGTGCTCGATTCCCCAGTAAAGTGAGACTGTTAGGAGCTGTTCACCAGTGGCTCATGCCTGTAATCCTAGCTACTCAGGAGGCAGAGATCAAGAAGATTGCAGTTCAAGGCCAGTTCAAGGCCAGCTCAGGCAAAATAGTTCATAAGACCCCCATCTCCAAAATAACCAGTGCAAAATGGACTGGAGGTATGGCTCAAGTGCCTCAGAGAGCCTAGTCTGCAAGTGTGAAGCCCTGAGTTCAAACTCCAGTGAAACAGAAACAAACAAACAAAAAAGATATAATTATGGATAGATAACTATCACACTCAGAAATGTCTCAGACACCCACTGATGGCAGAACACGGCCTGCATTTCCTTACGGTACTTGGGACCCTCCACAATATAGGCTACTATATCTTAGCCAGCTCCTTTTATTTTCTCCAAACCCCACAACAATGCTCAGCCACATGGACTAGTCTCCCCAGGGTTCACAGGCAAGCTGGAGCCTTCCTTGTCCTAGCTCCACAGGCCAAATCAAACCCAACTTTCCAGGGCAGCACAAACTCTTCCCTCACCAGAAGTCTTCCCTGGGTCCTTCACAGTCCCCTACACATCAGTCCCTCTATCTCTTACTTTCCAACCTACCTAAGTCTAGATTTCACAGACCAACCAAACTTCAGTACATAAAACATACAAACTCATGTTGACACATACAGGATGCAAATAAAACAAATGATAAAGTAACTGGTCACAATGACAAGATTTTCATTTTTTCCAAATCCTTCTCTGTATTTTCCACCGTGAACACACACACAAACACACATTTTACAATAATAAAGAGGGAAATGCTGTATTCTTTTCCTTTTTCAGGGGGTACTGGGGCTTGAACTCAGGCCCAACACCGTAAGCCACTCCATCTGCCCTTTTTTGTGAAGGGTTTTTTTCAAGATAAGAGTCTCACAAACTATTTGCCTAGGCTGGCTTTGAACTGTGATCCTCCTGATCTCTGTCTCCTGAGTAGCTAGGATTACAGGCATGAGCTACCAGTGCCTGGCTGCTATATTCTTTTGTAAAGAATAGATATGTGCTCAACTAGAAAAACTGTTTCTAGAACTTAGCTTAATGTTTTTAGAAGCAGTCATTGTATATATATTTTTTTTTCTTTTTTTTTTTGGCCATACTGGGATTTGAACTTAGGGCCTTGTGCTTGCTAAACAGGTGCTCTACCACTTGAGCCACTCTTCCCAGACTATGTTTTACATTCCACTCACTCCTTGATCCTCCTCTCTTCTCAAAGTATCACCTGAAAGACGTCACCAATGACCGCCTGCTGCCAACTCAACAGCTTTCTCAGTCCTCATCCAGCCTAATCTCTAACCCTCTGCTGTCTAATTCAGTAGCAACATGCAACTATTTAAACGGGAATGAAGATGGCATAAAATTAAAACTTCAGTTCTTCTATCATACGAGCCATGTTTCAAGTGCTCAGTAACTACATATGACTAGGACTCACTGTATTAGACAACCCAGTCTTAGAAGATTTCATCATCATAGAAAATTCTACTGGATAGTTCTGCTTTCTCCCATCTATACCTGTCAGTCACTCACTCTTTTACATGGTTTTAATGCAGTACATCTCCTCTAGAGACACGTTCTCCTCTAGGGTCTTTCCCTATCTGTCTGAACTTGACATTATTGGCCACACTTCCTTCTTCAGCTGTTAAAAGCAGGTGTGTTTTCGAGGTTTGCTCTTCTCACTCTATTCAACTTCACCATCACATCTTAGCAAGTGAGTCCCTAGTCCACTTGTAAATACCACTATCTTAACGTTCAAAGATCTTATCTCGCAGGTCCTACATGAGTATCACTTGCTTATTCTTCTGCACTTGTCTGCCTAGTGCCTTGTGCTCATGGCAGTCAACAAAGACGGGGTTCAAACAGATGGTCACTAAAGCAAAATCTGAGAGGCCATCAAAGAGGTCAAGAGCCAAAGGGCAGAGGTGCTGCGTGTCACAGGCCAGAGAGGAAGACAGAATTAGAAATCTAGGTAACTGACATAGGAATACAGAAAAATCCAAAAGCATAGTCCTACCAATTCTGCCAAAAACTGTGTTTTTCTCTCGCTTTTAATTAATGGTCCACTCATGTACCAGTTCCTGCCTTAGGACCTGTTTCTCTTAACACAAACAACATAAAATGTGTTACCTTTCCCAAGAAATAAGCATCTCCCTCTGGCTTCCTCTTACCAGTCAATGGCAGCACTGCCTTCTTATATCCTCAAGCTAGGAAACTAACACATGAACCCAGACACACAAACATACACACAGCCTCCCATCAAAGCTATTATTGTGGAGTAAGCACCATGATTAGGAATCAGGAGCCCACAGTTTCAGGTTCAGCTTTCCTCATTAATTTTGTTTTTTTCATTAGTGTTGGGGATCAAACCTCATACTACCCTGTAGGACTTAAGTCTTTTAACTTTTCTGGATCCTGGTTTCTTCATTTGTAAAATAAGGATTAATAAAACTTATTTTGAAGCTATCAAGGTAATCATCCTAAAACATATGATTCCTTTATATCTACTCAAATACCTACAAAGTAGAGAAAGTGGCTCTTACTCCTTTTTATGAAATCCCAAGGCAAGTGCACAGTCTCTCACATACATACACGTAAGTCTCAGGACTTGATCTCATGGAGATCCCAAGTTCATTATTTTTATCCTAGGTTAAAAATATCTTACTCAAAATACTCTTTAAACTCTTTACTGTGGCATGCAGGTCCTGAATAATCTGGAGGCAACCTACCTTCCTCATTTTTCTACCATAACATTCTTCTATCTCTCTCTTTTTTTTTTTTTTGGCAGTACTGGAGAGGGATTGAACTCCTGCCTAGCCACTTGAGGCTTGCCTTTCAGCCCCCGTAACATTCTTTACCAAAACTCTGGATAACACTGTTTCCCAAACACTATAGTATATCATCAGCCTAAAATGCTCACCTTTCTAGACCATGAGAACAGGGGCCACACTGTAGGGATCACAGGGTAGGGAGCTGTAAATAGAATAGACTGGACCATTAACCTCCGAATTCCATGTGAGAAAGTGAAAAACTTCTACTGTGTTTAAGCCACGATTATTTTAGAGTTTTGTTACTTCTAACTCAATCATACCTAAATTCAAGTTTTCCTCCCATTTTGCAAATAAGAAACCAAATCTAATTTTATATGGGAAAGTACTTAAACACATGTCCCTGCCCCAAAAAAGTTAATGGACTTCTGCATTAGCACACTATTTAAATTTTGTATTTACTAATTTCCTGCAATAGTATATATTATTTACATTCTCAGAAAAGTAACATACATATATATTTTTGGGGGGGTGGTTACTAGGGGTTGAACTTGGAGTCTTGTGCTTGCTAGGCAGGTGCTCTACTACTTGATCCACTCCACCAGCAACAAAAATAACATGTTTAATGTTTTATTGTTTTATTAAAGAAATCGTAGATTGGTAAACATAATAAAATAGCTGACTCTATAGGGCGATTTAACTTTGCTACACATTCAAAATTCTCAAATCAAAATCTCTGGGGTGGGGTAGACTAAGTATCAGTATATTTTTGTTGGTAGTGGTGGTACTGAAGTTCAAACTCAGGGCTTCCCACTTGCTACACAGGTGCTCTACCACTTGAGCAACACCTCCAGGGCTTTTTTGTTCTGGTTAGTTTGGAGATAGGGTCTTGCTTTTTTGCCCAGCCTGGCCTGGACCACCATCACCCTATTTTAAATTTCCTGACATTGCTGGGATGACAGCAGGGCATCACCACATGCCAGGAAGGGGGAAGGTCTCGTGAACTTTTTTCCCAGGCTAGCCTCAAACCTCAATCCTCCCCATGTGAGCCTCCCAAGTACCTAGGATTACAGGCATGAGCCACAGGTATCCAGCCAGTATCAGCATTTTTTAAAGCTCTTCAGTGAGTGTGACATGTAGACAAGGTCAACAGTCACAATTCTCAGAGCAGAAAACGAGCTCCTTGAGGAAGTAATTCTGTCCGACTCATCTCTATGTGCTGAGAACCTGGACTTGTGCTTAGCATGAAGCAAGTACTCCATGAATGTGAATGGACAGGAATGTGAATGAAAAGTCAAGGGCATAGGGCCTTCCCACACCAGATTCAGGACACACACAGGAGCAGTGTGGCTCACCTCAATAGCATAGCAGAAGTCAGCACCTGCTGTGACTGCCATCATCGACAGGAGTCCTGTGCCAGTGCCGATGTCAACAACCAAGGCTTTCTGTCCTCTGCCCTTCACCCTGCTCACAGCAGCCCGAATACCCTGGTAATATTTTACATTCTAAGAGAGAGGAAGAAATAGCTGTTACTTCACACTAGTTATGGTGAAAAGGTGCTTTAAAGAGCTGAAGAGTCATAGCTGGCAGCACCAGTGTAAATGAGGACATTCTGGAGAGCGAAGCTGGGCAGGCTTTGGCAACTCCAGGAGCACTGGGTCAGCGCCTTGTCTTTCATTAATCAAGTATCTCTTGTGCATTCACTCTTCCACACTTTGCTTAGCGATGCTGAGGTGGGAACTCTGCAAACCACACTCTTCCTTTACTAGTTGTTAGATATAGCCAACTGGAAAAATAAGAGGGTGGCTGGAGGATAGGAACAGGGAGGAAGCCCGCTCCTTCCTGTAGGGTGGCTGCTCAGGCTTCTCAGAGCAACAGCAGCAGCACTTGAACATCAATCATTTGAGATGTGAGACCACCAGCCACACAGGATCTCCCTTTTAGCTTCTGGGTTCTGGAAATCCTAAACTTCTTTTGCTTTTCAGTGCTAGGTAAGGTCAGGGCTCCTGCAAGCACTACTGCGTTATTTTGGTGTGCTCCCATTGCTTTCCATCCTCCTGCATCTGGGCAACCAACTCCATTACAACATACAATGTGACCTTTCTTCCCTTATTAAACTCCAACTCTAGAGCTTTCTTGTCTAAAAAGTACCTCCCCCTCAAGAAATAACTTCCTTCCATCTTGAAGGTTCAGTACACACACATTTTTATCTTCCATCTGTAGCAGTTTAGCTGAACAGGTATTCCTCTGTGGAAAATAACTCATGATCTTCCATAGCCTCTTAAGTACTAGATTATAGGCATGTACCACCATGCCTGCCAGAGTGTGTGTTTTTTGTTGGTTTTTTTTTTTTTTGCAGTACTCGGGCTTGAACTCAGGGCCTTCACCTTGAGCCACTCTGCCAGCCCTTTCTTTATGATTGTTTTTTTCAAGATAGGGTCTCTGGAACTATTTGCTCAAGCTGGCTTCAAAACTTGATCCTCCTGATCTCTGCCTCCAGAGTAGCTAGGATTACAGGTGTGTGCCACCAGCACCCAGCTGGAGTGCATTTCTTAATGTCCAAAAATCTGTTTTTCTGATTTTTCTTTAGTCACTTTCTTGTAATTGACATCTTTGACTTGCTTTCACTGTGGTCAGAGAATATTGTCCTTTTGATACCAGTTCTGTATTAGTTATCTACTATTACATAAGTTAATAGCCTCTTAATTCCTACTAACTTGCTAGGTCATCGATGCATTAAAAAATACTGATTAGCCAGGCACCAGTGGTTCACATCTGTAATCCTAGCTACTCAAGAGGCAGAGATCAAGAGGATCATGGTTTGAGGCCAGCCCAGGCAAACAGTTCCAGAGACCCTATCTCTAAAATACCCAACACAAAACAGGGCTGGCAGAGTGGCTCAAGTGGTTGAGTGCCTGCCTAGCAAGCATGAGGCCCTGAGTTCAAGCCCCAGTATCATCAAAAAAAAAAAAAAAAGACAGACAAGTATTTATTCTATCATCTTTAGTTATTTTCCACAGAGGAGGGAAGGGTGTGTGAGGCTAATGCTCTCACCTCTAAAATGGGTCAACACTCGAGTGTTGCTACTGCTGCTCTGAGGGGAATGGGAATGAGGACTAGGTCCCACCTCTGACTGTTTCCCCCCCATAGCTTTATTAAGATAAAATTGAAGGAGGCACCAGCAACAACACCAGCACATGTACAAAACTCTTTGGGAGAACACCAATGACTCTTGTTATTTAATCCTTAAGCTTCTACTCTCCCCTCCTCAAGTCTGATCTAGAGGCTGAAGGCATGGCTCAGTAGTAGTGTGCCTTCCTAGGAAAGCATAAGGCCAGAGCCCAAACTCCAGTACTGTAAAGCCTTGTCTTTTCTTTTTTCAATGGTTGTGCTGGGCAGGGGTACAGAGTAGCATTTACAAAGGTTCTTACAGTGTATCAGATATATCATACTTGAATTCACATCCACTACTCTTGTTCACCCCCTCCCTCCCAATTCCTGGAACAATTTCAACAGGTATCACTTCTGCATTTACGAGTGTAAATTATTATTTGTATACATTATACATTATTTGCACCATATTCATCCTCCTCCTACACCTTCCCTCCCCCAACCCCTTTTTTGTGGTACTGAGGCTTGAATCAGGGCCTACACTTTGAGTCACTCCACCAGCCCTTTTTGTGTGTTGGGTTTTTTCGAGAGAAGGTCTCTTGAACTATTTATCCAGGCTGGCTTTGAACCACAATCTTCCTGATTAGCTGCGATTTCAGGCATGAACAACCAGCACCCAGCTAAGTGAATTGAACACAGTTCTTTTCTTTTTTTTTTTGGCAGCACTGATACTTGAACTCAGGGTCTCATGCTTGCTAGACAGGCGCTCTACTACTTGAGTCACTCTACCAGCCCCCAAAGAGTTTCTTGATCTACCAGAATACTTGACTAAGTCTGCCCTATTCAGATGGTTTAGAAGGTAAGAAGCCTAAAGGAGACAGATGCAAAGTGAAGCCTAAAAACTGAGCAGCACAAGGCAGGAGAAGTATCAGGAATGTGGAAGGCTTGGGACAGGGGCGGGAAGGGGTTGCAGGGAAGACAGCCAGGGCAGGACTCAGTCTCCTGATTAACTTCCTGACTACTACACCATACAGCCTCTCAGTATCATTTGACCATCATGATTCCCTGGAGTTTTTAACCTTCTTGCAATTCAAGATTTCAAACACGATTACATCAATATAATGGTTTCCTTTTATACTTACTCTGTCTTTGTCATGTAACATATCTGCATAGGATGACCTAAAAAACAAAAGACAAGTGAGAAACCTTTGCTAATGACACACGTCAACACATGAAAATATTCATATAGATAAATGCATTCCTCAGTCAGATGCAACAAACATATCATTCACTTTAATTATTTTAGTGGCTGGACCTGGTGGCACACACTTGTAATCCCAGCACTCAGAGTATGAGGCAGGAGAATCATGAGTTTAAGGACAGTCTGTGCTAGAAAGCAAGACCCTGTCTCAAACAAACAAAAAATTACTTTAACAGAATCAGAAGTTGTCATCTCTGGTATTACAGAAAATAATCTCAGAAACAGATATTCTCAGATCTGAAAATGACCTGGTAATTAGCTTGTCACAGTGATCCCACAGCCACTAGCATCCTAATATTATGCATTATACACTCTCCCTCAGAAAGAACTTGAACTCAATACCACTCACACTTGACCTAACCTTGCATCATGCACATGCAACCTTGGGATGACCACAGATATGTCACTAGGGAGAGGAACTAAGAAAGGGAAAAGCACACATCTACTATGTATGTGAGCACCTTCACATCACATCATCAGGGAAAAACAAGAGTTCACCAAACAGTGTTTAAAGGTAAGAGAGTCACTTATCCATATTTTCTACCATAGCAACTCAAAACTAAAAACTAGAGTTGAGGCTGTAGCTCAGGGAAGAGCCCTTGTGGAGTAAGTATGACGTCCTGGATTTGATTCCCAGCACCACCAAAAACAAAAATCTATGGCAGGTTCAAGATGAACACCCAGGACTCCGCAGGCCAACCTGAAGATGTTTTCTGGGCGTTCCAAGACAGAACTGAGGAACCCCTACCAAAACAGGGGCCTGCAGCTTTGGGTCAGTACCACAATAGGGAGGGCTTGTTTTTGGTGGGACTGGGGTTTGAACTTAGGGCTTTCAGCTTGCAAAACAGGCAGTCTATCATTTGAGCCATACCCCAGTCCATTCTGGTTATTTTGGAGATGGGGTCTCATGAACTATTTGCCTGGACTGGCCTTGAACAGTAATCTTCCCAATCTCAGTTTCCCAAGTAGCTAAGATTACAAGCATAAGTCACCGGCGCCTAGCTTATTTCTTTTTTTTTAGTGAATAGCACACCAGATTTTTTGGGTACTTTTTTGGTTGTAGGTTTTTTGTTTTGTTTTGTTTTGTTTTTTAGTGGTATTAGGGTATGTACACCAAGATTCTGTATCTGTCCACAGCTATGGGCCATGGCCATTTTTACCTCTGACTACTAATTTTTTTTCCAATTTTAATATTTACTTTTTTAAGATGTCATTTTATTTTTAAACATAAAAGCCTATGGTCTCAAGAATGAAACTATATTAAGCACTTGCTTAGTATGTGCCTGGCCCAATTCAATCCCCAGCACTGAGGGGAGAAAAAAAAAGAGTTATCCTCAGAAGTTTCACTTTCAATTTCATCCCTCTAACCCCCCAACCCCATTTACACTCTCTACATGTAACTGTTTTTATTTCCAGTTTAATTCTTACAGTATTTCTTTTTACAAAAATGAACATATACTTCACCTCGTTCTTAGACAAAACTACGCTTGCTTTTTTCACTCAGTATATTGTGAAGTCACTCTACTAGTAAAGTGGGGAATGAAATGCTAAAAATAAGGATTTTTAAACATTTGCTTCTACAGTTGTGTAATATGTCACTGTGTGGATATACTGCTTACTAACACTATTGTTTATGTGCTTTCCAATCTTTTGCTATGCTGACTAAGAATAAAATTAACCTAGTCAAGAAAAAAGAAAATTACACTGATTTGGGGATAATTAGGATTGTATGTAAGAAAAAACAGATTCAAGTGATCTTGAAAATTTGTTCCCTACCCACTTTTTTTTTTTTTTTTTGTCTTTTCTTTTTTGGTGCTGGGATTGAACCCAGGGCCTTGTGCATGCTAGGCAAGCGCTGTACCACTGAGCTACATCCCAGCCCCCCTACCCACTTTTTAAGAAACATATTCACTCACCTTCTTCCTGGCCTCATCAGCCCCCACCAGCAACTCACTCCTGTTGCTAATGTCAGTCCATGACTTCTCAGCAGCTTCTGACCCTACAAGACACTCCCTCTTTCCTAAAACTCTCTCCTCCTCTCCACTCTGGCCACTCCCTCCTAGCTCTCTGGCATCCTCAGCCACTGGGGGTGGGGAGAATTCCTTTCTTTTACACTCTATACCCTCTCTGAGAAACCACAACCACTTCCAGTTTCAGTCCCACTAACTGTTACAAATTCTGACTCCAGACCCACAATTCTACCTACCCTCTGGCATCTTCATCTGGATATCCAAACCCAAACACCTCATCTCCTATCACCTTCTCCCAAATACCATCCATTTTTCAAAACCATCTCCCCCTCCCCCATCCCTAACAATGACAGCTCCATCTACCTAGTTACACTAGTTAGATTTTTTTTTTTTTTTTGCAGTACTGGGGTTTGAACTCAGGGCCTCACACTTGTTTAGCAGGCGCTCTACCACTTGAGCCACTCCATCAGCTCTTTGTTTGTGTTGGGTATTTTTGAGATAAGAGTATTGCTTTCATTTTGTCTGGGTGACTAGGAACTGATCTCTTGCCTCCTGAGTAGCTAGGATTATAGATGTGAGCCACCAGCACCCAGACCTAATAGAAATTTGTTGCTTTTCCACCACTACATCCTGTGAATCACTAAACCCAGTTTCCCTCAAAGCTGTCTTCTCCTCTCTCTATCTCCACTGCCTCTGCTTTGGGATTGTGATATCCACCCAAACAGTCTCCTCTCTCACCAAGCCACTTTCCATACTACTCTCCTGAAGGGTTTGGAATTGCATCCTAATCCATTCTCCATTTAATATCTCAATCCCTCAGAAAACAATGTCCAACACCTTAGAAATAAATGGCACTGAGCCCTTATTCTATAGCAGACATTGTACATTATACAATCATCAAACAGCCCTAAGATAAAAATATATGGTGAGACAAGTATTCATCATGAGGTGTGCAGAGTTATACTAAGTCTAAGGGAAGTTCAGCAGCTTGGCTGACCTCAGTGTTAACAAGTGGCAAAGCCTGGACTTAAACCCATGCTCCTTTTCCTGTGTTTCACTCTCCCTTTACAATGTGACCTTTTCAGCAGCTTCTCTCATCACAGCCCTACTTCTACCCAGCACTCCAACTACACTGAACTGCTAGTCTCCCCCTAAGCTGACTCATCTGGAAGTTTACATGTACTCTCTACTGCTCCAACGTCAATTTCCATCTCTTTGGGATTGAGAAATTACTCAAACATCACCCCTTCCCAGTCCAGCTGCTTCTTGCTACATCTATGATCTTCTTTGCCCATTTCCAGAGGTCTTTGTCTTCCTACGCTGCAATTTTTGTCCATCTATTCACAAAACTACATGTTTCTTGAAGATGGGAACTGTATCTCTTCTATCTTGGTATCCACAGCCCCAGCACCATGCTGGCTAGTTGAATGTGCTTAATGACTACTAAAGAGCAAAACCCACATATTTTAAAACATTCCTTCTGAAGAGAAAAAAAGACTTTTCAAAGACTTTCACTTTTTTTATTCAAGAGACTTTAATCATATGAACGTGTCACCATTTCAGTAAGACAAAGATTTCATAAACTCCACTATTACTGAACCTTGGGTCCTCTTTACTCCACTGAACAGATCCTCTGAGACTCTAATAAGGCTGCTATATATGTCTGGCACTCCAAACAGGCAGGACTTTGCCCAACTCCTACACTATACTCTCTGGCTAAGCAAACTTGCTCATGACCAACATCCTCATGCCTTGATCATCCACATCTAAATTATAATAATTATATATATAATAAGATATGTATTCTGAGGCACCTGCTGAAACTGAGGGCCCCACCCAGCTATAGCCAACTATGAACCAACCCTTATTACCTGGCAATCTCCTGGTGATAATCATAGTGCTCATCCTCCTCCAGCCACTCCACAGATCCTGTGGTTGGATTGGCCCGCCCGCAGAAGACCTTCATGGTGCCAACCAACTCCCCAACGTTTGGACAGAAAAGCAGCCTTGTCAGTTCACTTCTTAGGGACAGATTTGATTATCAAAAACCTATTCAATCACAACGCCCAACCAACAATGGGGGCAAGGGACAAGAAAACAAACAGGAGAAAAAAAAAAAATCAAAATGAAAAATGTCAAAGCCACTGAAAGTATTTGTTAATCACTATTTTAATATTTTCAGCAGGAGTTATTAGATTTTATAGTCAGCACTTAACATCAAAAACTATAATAAATCTGGGTATGATGACACACACCTATAATCCTAACATTCAGGAGGATGAGTTAGGAGTACCTCAAGTTCAAGGCCAGTGTGAGCTAGAGAGTTAAGATCCTGTCCCCAGAACAAAAGCAAAATTATAATAAATTCATAAAGCTGTCTAGAAACTTTTGACAGTCTTCAGTGATTCCAACAGGGTCAAATGAGCCTCACATTCATCTGGGTGCCCTCAGGTAAAGGTGGGTGAGAAGGGAAAAGGGCCAGCAGGAAGAGAATAAGAAATGGATGGTAACACGTGAGTATATTAAATACCTAGCATGGACTAGAGGTGTTGCTCACCTGGTAGAGCGCCTGCTTTGCAAAGTGCAAAGCCCTGAGTTCAAACCCCAGTCCCACAACAAAAATAAAGAAATAATTTTAAAAAGCACCTAGCATAAGGAAAAACACAAAGACATAGCAAGTCAAACCAGGAAAATTTTTATCTAAACAAATCAGATACACACAAACATAGATAATCCTGGGAATATAATGGTGGCGGGTGGGGGGGGGTAAGGAAGTCACAGAATGCATACAATGATTCTACTTACACAAAATTCATAACCATATAAAATGAAACAATATACATAGTGTACTTTGGGAATCACACTGAAAAGCATAACAGGGAGTGAAGATAGTGGTTCCTTCAATAGGGAAAGGGAATGAAATGAGATCAAGGAAACCCACATAATATAAAGTAATGGTATTGTTCTTTTACTTAAATTGGATGTTGGGATCAGGTGCTTATGATATTATCATTCTTTAATTTCACTATCTTTTATAGTAATTACTTCTTACTACTCCAAACTTACTTTTAAGTCCCTGAGCTTATGCTTACTAGGTAAGGGTTCTACCACTTGAGCCATGTCTCCAGCCCCCTTTTTTTGCTTTGGCTATTTTTGTTAGGGTCTCACTTTATGCCCTGGTGGCCGTAACCACAATCATCCTGTTTATGCTTCTCATGTAGCTGGGAAAACAGACCCACACCACCGCATCCAGCTTATTGGTTTAGATGGCATCTCAGAACTTTTTGCCCAGACTAACTTCCCCACCATCCTCTCAATCTTTACCTCCTGAGTAGCAAGGATTACAGGCTTCAGCCACCATGCCTTGCTTAAGAGCGATTTTTAAAAATCTTTATCTAAAAGACCAAAATAGCTTCAAATAAATGTCACCAGATTTATGGCTTGTATGGCCTGTCTCCCTAAACAAATCCATTTTGGGGAAGCAGAGATGCACCCCAGTGTGATCTGAAGGTACTCAGCATTTCTGGGGCTCTCCCACTGCCCACCTCCTGCCATTCACAAATTAGCAAGTGTTCCACAGTTTCCCATCTTCTTAAACACTGGCTCCTAAACATTCATAAAACATTTTATTGGCCAGAGTTTTTTACTTTCTTTTGAAGTTATCTAGATTAAGTAAACATGAAATTCTTTCTTTTTTTTTTTTTTTTTTTGGTGGGACTGAGTTTTAAATTCAGAGCTTCACACTTGTGAAGCAGGAAGCAGGAGCTCTACTGTGCGAGCCACACCTCCAGTCCATTTTGTTCTGGTTATTTTGGAGATGGAGGTCTCATGAACTATTTGCCCAGGCTGGCCTTGAACCACAATCCTCCAGCTCTCAGCCTCCCAAGTAGATAGGATTGTAGGCTTGACCCACTGGCACTCAGCTAAAATTAAATTATTTTAGGAGAGGATGGAAAGACAATTTTTTCTAAAAAGACTCAGGAAGTCACTGGCTTAGTTCAAAGTAGTCAATTTGTCCTTGGTAAAATTCTATTTTCTAAAATCCCAGTGTATCTATAATGTAGTAGCTCTCAAGTGTTCTGACAGCCCCAATACCTAAAAATTTCAAAGTAATATTTAACCTGCCTATGGGAAAGCAAAATTATTTATTTATTTTCTTGCAGGCATTGAGGTTTGAACTCAGGACCTCACGCTTGTTGGGCAGGCATCTTTACCATTTGAGACATTCCACAAGCAGTTTATTTTTTTAGTTTTTGGTCATGACCAACTTAGTTGATTTCATGGGCTACAATCTGCAGTTTGAAGAGCACTGATATAATAAGTTCTGCCTATCTCTTATACTTTTCAGACAGAGTGTCTAGATCTATCAGAATCTGTAATGTGCTTTATTTTTTTTTTATTTTTTTTTTTTTACAAGGAGCAATGGTTTATTTCAGAGGTTTCAGTCCACGGCTACTTGGCCTCACTGCCTTTGGGCCTGTGAAAGCACAATTAGGAACAGTTGATGGAAGGGCCCATTTGCTTCAAGACCAGATGTGGAAAAAGGAAGAGGAAGGGGACACGGCACACCCCCAATGACATAACTTCCTCCCACTAGGCTCCACCTCTAAAAGGTTCACCACCTCCCAACAGTGCCAAGCTGGGCACCAAGCCTTTAACACATACTTCCAGATCCAGACTATAGCAGGCACTTATAATCTAACCACCAGCGATGCCACTGTTCACACTGTGATGTCATTTTGCCTTTTAGTCAGTTTTCTCTCTACTTTTGAAATATTTTGGTGTCTTCCCTTGTAAATGATCTGGGTGTGATTTTCAATGTTTGTGCTCTGATAAACATCCGGCACAATTGCCATTGCACAGTGCCAGATTACTCACCAAGCCCAGGGCTGGAGATACAGGGAGTTTGGACTTTAAATTTTTCCTTTCTATGCCCAACTTCCTTAGAGAAAGACCAGTATGATTTAATCAATTTAACCTGAGAGTTGAAAGCTCATCTTATTTTATTGCATATTTCCTCCATTACACATTGTAATGTGCTTTAGAAAACTTTGTCCAATAAATGCTGTAGGAGAAAGAAATCTTCACATCTGTCTAAATATTCAGGAAAGACAAAAGAAGGATAGGGCATTTTATCAGATGAGAAAGGCTTAGACCATCATGCATATTGAATAGATCAGTTTAGCTAAAGTGAAAATGAACAAGAAGACAAACAGTTGGCAGACTGGTTCAAATAGTAGAGTGCCTGCTTAGCAAGCATGAGGCCCAGTTTCACCCAAAAAAAAAAAGAAAAAAAAAAACATTATCAGTGGGGTCCATATGTGGAAGAGTCCTGAAACCCTTAGCTGTGGTCTATGTGGAATCAATTCTGAAGTTATTTAAAGTTTAAGCCTGAAGTAAAGAAGTTTGGTCAATAATTCCTTTCTTGTCTGTGATGTTGGGGATATAAACAGGAGCACATTGTCTTCCAGAAAGGTAGAGAACAGCTGGGGTTGTGGTTTAAGTAGTAGAGCACTTGCTTAGCAGGTAGGAGACCCTGGGTTTGAATAATCTCCAGTACTGGAGACTGAAGGGGAGAACTGTAGAGAAGTCCTTGATTTTGTATAAGTTTGTTGGTGGGGGGCGGGGAGGGCAGGGCATAGTGCTGGAATCAAGCCCAGGGTATCCACATGCTCCACCTCTGAACAACATCCCTAGATCTAAATAAATTTTTAAGGACGGAAAGCATGTCCTGATTCCCAATTCTGTGAATGAATAAACTTGTTCTGGCCAAGCCCGATATACCTTCTATGGATAAATCTGCTCAGGTATTATTATGATTTGTGCTCTCTCAGAAGGAGCTCACACCTACTGACCCCCTCCTCATTCTTCACGAGCTGTGAACTCACATCTACAAGGAATGAAAGGAAACCACCATGCCAAATCCCAATTATATTACTAGTCCAATTTCAGAGCCGATGTTTCAGTTATTCGCTCAAAACTTACTAAGTACCTGCTATATTCCAGGTATAAACAAGATAAAGAAGATCCTTGCCCTCCCAGAGTTTAGATTGTATGAGGAAAAAAGAGTAATATCAACAGTTGCAGATGATTTGACTGTGGGAAAAGAAATGCCTAGGGTACTATGCCAGTCTTATGTTGGATCACATGTGCCAGGCAAATGCTCTACCACTGAGCTACACCCCAGTTCACACACAGAACTACGGAAAGAGAATAAGGTTATGGAAGAACTCTGAGGAAGAAAGCATTTAAGCTGAGATCCGCAAGACCAATCAGGCTAAAAGTTGGAGGAGGAGTTTAATATGACAGGAATACTAGACTTTTCAAAGGGCACTAAGGGAGAAAGAATGAGATGCATATGCAAAATGCGACAAAAGCCTGAATGACTGAAGTACTTAGAGCAGAAGAAATTACAAGACATTAAAAATGTGCTTCTGTAAATTACACTGGGCCTTTCGTTTCCTAAAAGTATTTTGTTCTAAGGTCAGTGGGAGTCAGAACACAGTTTTACAATACTGATACAGGCAAGCATGTAGTCCCGCTACTCCTGAGGCAGGATAGAAGTAGGGAAAGCTCAGGACTCAAACGTAGGCTGCCCAGGGACGGGCCATACCACCCTCACCTGGCGGGAACCGCCCATGCCCCCTCCCCACTCACGGATTACTGGGTGAAAATCGTCAGGTTCCTCCCTTCCACAGTTTAGCATGAATTTGAAAAGTACCTAACGAGAAGTTCTCCCTCTCTCGGCCGGCAGGCTCCACCTACGCCCTACCATGCTCCCTTTTGTATTTCCCTTTCCTAACTTCTAATAAACTCCCTTTACACCCACGTGTCCGGCCATGCATTCCTCCCGCTGGGACAAAGAATTTGGAAATCTGATCAGACTGCACCGGCGCCGTTAACAATAACAGTGACTAGGAAAGGCTAGCCATCAGAGTTCTCTGAGAACTGGAGGCAAATTCAGGGTGCGAAAGCTAGAGCTGAGGTCCGGGTCTCTACGGCGAAAGGGAGGCGCCGGGCACGGAAGCCGTGACCCAGGCCCCGAGGTAGGCTCCGCCACGGCCCCGGCGAGAGCAATCACCCAGCCGGCCAGAACGCTCGGAGCCGCTCTATGCGTTCGGAAAAGACGCGTGCCCCGGCGCCCAAGTACGGCCACACTGGGCACCTCTGTCCGAGCCCTAGAAGTCAGGCCATGATGCTGGCTGCACCCAGGATTCCAACCACGACCCCACCTTTCCAGCACACCCAACACCTCACCCGCCACAGGAACTACTCGGCTTGTTTCCGCCACCACCGCCATCTTGCAGCGGCCAGCGTGCGGGGGCGGAACCTCCGGAAGCCCGCAGAACGTGCCGGGGGAGCGGGGCCCGGGGCGGAACTGGAGGGCTCTTCTGTCCCACCCCGCGCGTTCCCACAGTACTCCGCGACAGCAAGTATGGAGGCCGGCGGACTTGCGGTGCTCCGCGTGAAACGGAAGCGCAGCGCAGAACCCGCGGAGGCTCTTGTGCTGGCGTGTAAACGCCTACGGAGCGCCGAGGTTGAGTCGGCTGCCCAGAAGGCGTCGGAGGATCTGAAGACAGCGGCGGAGAATAATGTCTTCCAGCTGGTGGCTACCGTGCGCTCTCAGGTATCGCGCAGGGATGGAGTTTGTGTGGAAGGGATCTTAGGGCTCTGCTGGAATGAAATCAGATCCCCTAACCCACTTGCAGGCCCTTGCTGACGCCGCCCGCTCTCTCCTGCCTCCCCCCAGGAGGAGCCAGTTCAGCAGCTCGTGCGGGCTGCTGTGCGCCCGTCCAGGGACAGCCAACAGCGCATTCGCCGCGACCTCCACGCCTCAGCTCGCGAGGTCCGGAAAGAAGGCCGCTACCGGGTGCTCTCCACCGCCGATCTTCAGGGACCTCTAGCAGCTTGGAGTCTGAGTGTGCACCAAGGACCCAGAAACTGCCAGGGACGCAAGCTTCCAGCTGTTGGACCTGGTCCACGAGGAAGGAGACCCAGAGGCCGCTGCCTCAGACACCAGGAAAGTGAGTAAGCACCTTAGGTGAGCCCTGGGTGTCTCTGTACTGTAGTACCAGGAGTTAGCGCCCGACAGCAGCACTCAGCGTCACCTTAGGAATGGATGAGCCATCGGCGTTATGGCCTCATTTTACCATTTGATTTACACTCGACGTATATACACTGAGCGCCTACAGTGTGCCAGATATTCTTAAATTCTGTAGATACAGCAGTGAGAAACTCACTCTATTCATATACAGGAAAGAAACATTAAACAAATTCAGTGTTAGATGGTAGTAAGGGTTGGGAGAGAGACAAAGCAAGGAAAGAGTAGTGGAACTTCTGTGCAATTCGCACTGAAAAAGACGTGAGTGAAGACTTGAAGGTGAGTGACAGCGACGGCGGAGATACCCCTTGGGGAGAGGCAGCTCAGGCAGAGGACCTCAAGGGTTTGCAAGATCAGTGTGGCTAGAGTTCAGTGAGATGGGAAAGAGTAGAGAATTGGGAGGGGCGCTTTCTAGACTATGTAGTTGGTTGTAAGGACATTGCCTTTCACCCTTACTGAAATATGGGGTTCATTGGAACAAAGCAAATGGGAAAACTGATCAAAAAGAGGGTAAGGGAGTAGGTCTGGGTACCATATCAAGTTTATGGTAGTTTTAGGTCTAGAATGTAGTGCTTTTTCTACTACATTGCATTATTAAGTTTTGTACCTACTTTGAAAGGACAAAGTCTGCTAGATGCATTAAAACCACATAGAAAATTCCCAGTGTATGGTATGCCCTCTTTTTTTTTTTTTTTTTCCCTTTTGTTGGCACTGGGGTTGAACTCAGTGCTTCAAGCTTGCTGGGCAGGTGCTCTTACCGCTTGAACCTCTTTGCCAGCCCCTGGTGTGCCCACTCTTGATAAACATTAAAAAGCACAACTTAGGGGATAGAGGCAAGAGTTTCAGGCCAGTTTTGACTACATAGCAAGACCCTATCTTAAAAAAAGAAGAAAAAACAGTGGGGCACTGGTGGCTCACGCCTATTATCCTAGCTACTCAGGAGGCAGAGATCAGGAGGATTGCACTAGGAAGCCATCCTGGGGAAAGAGTTCACAAGACCCTACATCAATCGCTTCTGGGCCTTTTGGCTAAGATCAAGTGTAGTATCTGTTCTTATCAGTTTAATATCTGATACATCCTCTATCCAAGGATAACATATTAAATGGATTTTTGGAACAGGGAGATGGAATAGGAGCTTGCTCCGTCCACTCCACGCATCGACCTGGTATTGCAGTACCTCCAGGAACAGTGCACCAAAAAAAAAGAAAAAAAAAAAGACCCTACATCGAAAAACACTTCACAAAAATAGGGGCTGGTGGAGTGGTTCGAGGTGAAAAGTCCTGAGTTGAAGCCTCAGTACCACAAAAAAAAAAAAAATTCTTTAAGTTTAAAAATTAAATTTAAATCAGAATTAATCAGCAAGCAAAGATTAGTCATGGTGCTAGTATGACCGGATAGTAATTTGGGCCTGATATCACCAAAATGAATTCCAGACTGATTTGTGATTTGCTTTATGCTGGGGATCAAACCCAGGACCTTGGGCATGCTAGGCAAGTGTTCTACCTGACATATATAAGCAAAGATAGATGCACTGGCTGAGCTGGAGGTATGGCTCAAGTGTAAAGCGCCTATCTAGCAAGCTAACCCTGGCTGGGTGTGGTGGTACATCCCTGTAATCCTAGCTGGGCAGGAGGTGGAGGTAGATCTGCTGAGGCCAGCCCTGGACAAAAAGTGGGAGGCCCAAACTGAAAAACAAAGTACACAGGACTAGAGGTGTGGCTCAGGTGATAGAGTGCTTGAGGCCCTGAGTTTAAATTCTAGTACTCTGAAGATTTGCAATATGAGGCAATACTAGTGTTTAACAATAGAAAATGCTGTATGTTGGGCTAGGAGTATAGCTTAGTGGTAAAGGGCCTACCTAATGTGCAGAAGGTCCAAGGTTCCTACCCTAGCACTCAACATGCTATGTATAATATAACTGAAAATATGGATACGCATATACATGGACATTAAAAATATTTTTTCCTTCATTAAAGTAATGTATGCTGATATGGGAAATGTGAAAGAAAAAAAAAAACATAGCAACATAAAAAGTGGAGTTTGGGGGTATAGCTCAGTGGTAAAAAGCTTTTGCCTAGCATGTACAGGCCCTGGGTTCAGTCCTCACCACTGGAAAAAAAGGCAGGGGAGGCAGTCACCCACTTCTCCCCCAACCCAAAGGTAACTAGAGTAAAGCTGGTTTGTGTACTTCTGAGTGTAAGATTCAGTATGGCATTTTTCTGTATTACTTTGTAAATTTAATGGCTATGTTATTTGCTAGACTGGGGTGGACTATGAACAGGAGCTACATTTTCTTCTTAGCTTATAAATGACAGTATCAGTCTCCCCTTGTGTGCCTTGGGCTCCTTTCCTATGGTGTCTAGTTTGAGCAGTGCAGCCTCCTTTGATGAACCTGTTGAGGGGGCCGTCTAAAGCATACCCCTCCACCTCCCCGGTTTCCATACGGTCCTGTGCTACATGGCTCTGAATAACACATCCATTAGGCACTAGAGCACATCTTATGTACCTAGGCCAATTCTATTCTGGAACATTTTGTTTTCAAGCTGTTTTTTCTAACAGAAAGATGATGAATCCAGTATGTGACTAAAAGCACAATGTCAGTATGGGGCAAGCCAAATGATGGCAGATTATAGTGGTTACCAGGAATTTTCCTATAGGCCTCTATAGGAGGCCCTATAAAATGCCAAGCTGTTTTGGGGTCAGCCATGAAGGTGCTGCTATGGGCCTACGGATCCCCAAGGAAAGAATATCATAGCAAAGGAACTTAAGCTCTGTGGAAGCAGGTCTGACTCAGAGCTTGGGCACAAGACTAACCAGCATGTTAGACTTCTCACTCCTCAGGACAGTCTTCCTGTGTTTTGTGTGTCGGTCATGCACACTACAGCAGAAATTATCTTGTAGGGTTCTATCTGAAAAGAACGACTACACAGTTTTGATTTCTTAATTTTGTTGTTAACCAAGACCAGTAGTCCATGGGGATAAGAATATTGCATACAACATAGAAAACTATAGCAGGCTTTCCTTCACCCAGCTCTTGTGTTCTTCTCTTGGAAACATCACGTTTTGAGTTGTGCGTGTATCTGCTTTCTTTACAGCCATCTGACCCAGATGTGATCCTCTGCAATTCTGTAGAGTTGATCCGTGAACGATTGACAGTATCTGAGGATGGACCAGGAGTCGGGCAGTGGGAGGAACAGAAGCATGATGACTATGTGTATGACATTTATTACTTAGAGATGGCCACTCCAGGGTGGATTGAGAACATCCTCTCTGTGCAGCCCTACAGCCAGGAGTGGGAGCTGGTAAGGGGGTCCGTGAGGAGACGGGGCATGTGATAGCCTATAAGCTCTTTTTTTTTTTTGAGTGGGTGGAATACTGGGGTTTGACCTGAAGTCCATTTTGCTCTGGTTATGAGCCACTGGTGCTCAGCCAGTTGTTTCTCTTCTTAAGAGTGCTTTGCCTCCCTACACTCCACTGCTGATCAACATATTTCTTAGTTCTTGTTGTTGGTAAAATGAATATATATATATATATATACATATATATATTCTAAATGCCCTTTAGAAATGCCCTTTAGTGCAGGGAATTTTGAGAAAGATCATCTACATCATTGATCATTTATGTTCTTAATAAATGTTTTACAAAGTTTACTGGGGTTTGAGCTCAGGGCCACACATTTGCTAGGCAGGTGCTCTACCACATGAGCCCCTCCACCACCCCTGTTTTGTGTTGGGTTTTTTCAGGATAGGGTTTCAAGAACTATTTGCCTGGGCAGGCCTTGAGCCAATAGCTTGCTGGTCTCTGCCTCCTGAGTAATTAGGATACAAGCATGAGCTACCAGCACCCAGCTAAGTTCACAGTATCTTTGTAGCTACTGCTGTTGGGTAGAATCTGTGTAGAAGCTTATAACAAAATAAAGAAAAAAGAAAAGCAGACATTTCTTAACATGAATAAGAACAAAACTTTTTTTTTTTAATTGTATCTTAAAAGAAAAAACCTTGAATGGTAAAAGCCAGTATCCTAATTTTCTGATTTGACTAATGAGCAGTGAAGGTAGCACCTATCATGTTCACATTGGGAGAGAAACACTTTATCTTCCACCTGCACGAGAACCAGTTTTATAGTCAGGTACCCACCTTTGGGCCACTGCATGGTCCCATCCTGTACCTCTTACTCTTGGATTTTAGTCCTGACATTTGGCATCATCCACACTCTCTCCCAAAATTTAAAAGATGCCCTTTAAAAATTTAAAAGGTGATTGTGTTACCTTCTCAGATGTCACTCTTCTCTACCCTTTATTCCCTTCTGTGGTAGTTGGAATGTGGTGCCTGTAACTGGACTATGAGTGGAGCAGGGTTCCTTCATCCTCTCATAGCCTAAGATTACCAATCTCATATTTAGCAGAGTTAAACTAATTCATAGTCTGTGTCTTTCACAGCATACTCAAGTTGGTTATGCTGTTAACTTCCCCCAAACAGCATAACTTGAGAAGTTTTGATTTAGATTCATGTTTGTGTTGAGATGTGCAGGTAAATGATGATCAGCAACCAGAAGACATTTATGAAGATGAAGATGATGAGAACAGTGAAAATAATTGGCGCAATGAGTACCCAGAGGAGGAGAGCAGTGATGGACATGAAGATTCCAGAGGTGAGTGGAAGCCCAGATAGGACAGGACTGACTGGTAGGATCCAAGACTGAGGTGAAGGAGTAATTGACTAGCTTTTCTTCTCTGTCATTGAGCAGTATTTCCAGAGGAACTGCTGTAGGCATAATGTCAGTCAAACCTGGACTCAGCTCCTTATTTGTCTTTGCCTACCCATGGGTCTCAGGCAAGTTACTTTGGTTTCTTGAGCCTCATTTTCCCCCTAACTTAAGTGGTTGGGATTAAGTAAAACCTCTAGCCCATTTACTCTCACTTTCCCTACTTTCATCAAGAGAGTATTAAGCTGGCTGTGGTGGTACAGGCCTATAATCCCAACACTTGGTAGGCTAAGGCAGGAGGATTTCAAGTTCAAGGCCAGTCTGGGCTACATGGCAAGAATCTGTCTCAAAAAAAGAAGTGTAGGGGTTTGCCAGGAGTGGTAGGCCCAGGGTTGTCAAAAGTCAGTTCTCTAACCTCTAAAGAAACTGCTGCATTTCCAACTATTTAGAGAAAGATCCAACAGACATGGTACCTGGGGGAAGAGGAAAAAAAGATGCCTTGGCAACACAGTTCCTTTGGTTACTGTGTTCTAAGTGTGCCCAAAAAAATAATTTCTTGGTGCCTGATAATAAGGAATAATTAAACAATGGCATACAACAAGTGCCATACCAAAGGGGGAAGCAAGCTGGGGGTATATAACTCAGTAGTAGATGTTGCCTGGTATACCTAAGACCATGGGTGAATCCCCAGGACCACTACAACAAAAAAAGTTTCAGATTTTGTTGGTCAAAATTATAGGTGTGTGATAAGCACCTATAATCCCATCACTGGAAGGCTAAAGCAAGAGGATCATGAGCCTGGGTTGCATGGCAAGATCCTGTCTCAAAAAAATTTCCTTTGGTTACTGTGTTCTAAGTGTGCCCAAAAAAATAATTTCTTGGTGCCTGATAATAAAGGAATAATTAAACAATGGCATACAACAAGTGCCATACCAAAGGGGGAAGCAAGCTGGGGGTATATAACTCAGTAGTAGAGTGCTTGCCTGGTATACCTAAGACCATGGGTGAATCCCCAGGACCACTACAACAAAAAAAGTTTCAGATTTTGTTGGTCAAAATTATAGGTGTGTGATAAGCACCTATAATCCCATCACTTGGAAGGCTAAAGCAAGAGGATCATGAGCCTGGGTTGCATGGCAAGATCCTGTCTCAAAAAAATAAGGTGTGGGGATGTTAAGGGACTTGGTTTAGATGGTGAGAATATGACTGTTTTTAAATATATCTGCGTGTGTGTATATATATATATATATATATTTTTTTTTTTTTTTTTTTTTTTGCAGTACTAGGGTTTGTTTGAACTCGGGGCCTTTGTACTTGCTAGGCAAGCAAAAAAACCCACAACTTTTTGAGAAGGGAAGGGGCTCATGCAGCAGCCTGTAAAATCATACAGTAAATGTTCATTCCTGGTATCTCCTTGTAGACTCTGATGAATACAACAGCCTCAGTGAAGAGGAAAGAGGCAGCAGCAGGCAACAGGTATGGAGCAAGTATGCTTTGGATGTACAGAAGGAGTTTGGCTACGACAACCCCCACGATCTGGATTCAGACTGATGGTCTTGCAATGACCAAACGGTTCTTCCACAGGCTGTGAGGGTTCAGACTACAGTGTCAGGTGGCCTGGTGACATGCTCTTAGGATTCGTAACTGAACATGTAGAAGGAAAAAGCATGTCCAACAGTATTATCACAACACAGTGATAACTCGCTAAGAGAGCGAGTCTTCGATTCACAATAGGACTCATTTGCGTCAATCAGAAGTGTTCCTACAACTTGAAAGAAAATGCTGTAAAAATCCTTTTGCTTCCTGACCCAGGCATTTTTCCTGGCATCCCAGTTCTCATGTGCTGAAGTCCAAAGGGGAAAAAAGTCTCCCGTTTCATCAACAGTAAGGCTATTCTTTCTGCTACCACCAGGTAAAGCCTGTCCCCTTTGTTAGAGATCTAGAAGAGCTATACTGGGTCACTTTGCAGCAGCGCAGCTTGGATAGCAACAGCAATTAGGGGAGGAACTAATTCTGTCTGAGCCATGGGAGGTTTTAGTGAACACTCATCTCTGCCTCCCTGCTTGGGATTATGATAAAGATTACTGTAATTCTTTTTGGCAGTGGTGCCAAGGAATAATATGTATGAATGTGATACTCTTTAATAAAAACTGACGTAATATGGAAGCAAGCAATTCCTTTGAAACCTTTTAAATCTGAACATCTATTGTACTTCCCCTACTACATACGCACACAAGATTGAGACAGAAGTTCCAGAACTAACTTGAGACTTAAGGCAAGGGAGGACAAAGAAAGCATGTCCTGAACTTAGTTTTCTACTGAAAAATGTTTAGCATTCACCTCATGCACTGAAAACAAACTATAGTCTTCCCTTGGTATCTGTGGGTGATTGGTTCCACGACCTACTATGGACACCAAACTCCACAGATGCTCAAGTCCCAAAAATGACATAGTATTTGCATATAGCATATGTACAGCCTTCATATACTTTGTCATCTCCAGATTATTTGTGAAACCTAACATAAATGCTAGGCAAACAGTTGTTATACTGCATTGGAAAATGACAGTAAGTCTGGTACATGTTTAGTACAGGCACAATTTTTTCCCAAATTTTTTGCTCCATAGTTGGTTAAATCCATGGATGTAGAACCTCCTGGATATGGAGGCTAATTGTACTATTACAGGATCTATTTTGTTACCAGAACTTATCTCTTGTAAGCAAACTATCCCTACTCCTTTCCAAATCCCAACTACTTTTTTGTGAGGGTGCTGAACTCAAGAGCTTCACACTTGCAAGTTATTTTGGAGATGGGGTCTCACCCACTATTTTTGGCCTCAAACTGTGGTCCTCCCGATCTCAACCTCCCAAGTAGCTAGGACTATGGACATGAGCCACTGCTGCCTGGCTAAAAGACTTAACTCTTAAGTTGGCACTTACTCATCTATTATAGCACTGACCAAAAATTTTTACAGCAATGAATACATTATCTGCACTGTGCACATGTGGCTCTTGCAATATGATTAGTGCAACTGAGTTTAGTTTTACTTTAATTTAGCTACTATGGCTAGTAGTAAACAGCACAAGAAACAACACATAGAACCTTTGATTATATGTCCTCTTGCCCTGTGACAGTTTTGTCTGACTCATTATCATCTGAAAAAGTGAATTACACAGGGAGATGCTGCCTTCTCACCTCTTGTATAATGTTATAAGTTTCTCTACTTCTGTACTATCTCTACCCATTCTTTCACTTTATGTCCATTTTGTAAGCCTTAATCTATATCAGCCTTATGTATGTAGAGTTGTTAAACCTGACAAAATGATTAAATTCAGTGTACTTAGGCCCTCTGTTGCAACTAATTAAATATAGTTTTCTAATTCTGAGGTTCACAAAGGCACAATTTGGTTGTAAGAAACAGGCAGCAACCTAAGTGTCCAATGCTAGTCATATTAGTCGTCTTCTGTAGACACAGAGACAAAGAATTAAAAACCACCCTTCTGTTATAATGTGCTCACTGCTGTGTATTATGTGTTCCATCAAATTTTGCCAACATGAAAGGTCTGACAAATTCACAAACTGTACCCTTTGCAAAAGGAGTCCAAACTACTGCAAAAAGGATTAGCACAGCAGGAGATGAGTTAAGGAGGCAAACAACAAAGACCTAGTGGAAATTAATTTTACCATGAAGCTTGAGTGCTATAGGGAGTCTGGCAACCCTTCCACAGAAGGGTTCCTTGGAGAAGTAAATCCAGCACAGCGGATGAATGCTGGCACAGATCAATAATGAGGATAACATGGCTCACTAAGCAAGTACTAGAGCACCTGGTGTGTAAGACCCTTGCTTCCCTCAGAAACCACTGGGAGGCAGTAAATTCTTGAGATTAGCTGGTTATTGGGTGAAGAACACTAAAGTCAGGGTCAGGGATCCTTAAGACAAACACATTCTGCTTAAAGAAATTAGCTCCAGAAGTCCTGGGATGGGTGCCAGCTTGGCTCAAACAGATGTTTATAGTTTATGTAAGTCAGCCTTTGCACAATATTCTTTGTCCTCAGGTAGGAATTTACTACACAAATCCCCAACAGTAGGAATGTCCACCATGTTCTCACAGATGCATGCTCTCAACCAAAGGCAAACGTGATATGCTCCTCTAAATCTTTATTGAGCAAGGATATTGACCAAGGTTACGACCTTGTCTGCAATGGGCCAGTTTGGTGAAGAATGATTAGAAGGGAAGATTGCCTCATAGTTCTTGTCTTTACTGTTGATCAGTTCAAAAAGCTAAGAATAATATGTCTATGGGGTGTGCCAAGTCAGCAGGTTCTCTTGAGACTATAATGACAGTGTCAGGAGGTATCCCAGAACAGTTGTACAATCCAGTGCATCCATCTTGCCCACAAAGGAAGACCCAAATTAGGCCAACGTGCTGCTCTGGCCTGACAGCAACCCAGTCTAAGCACCAGAATTAGTTGCTTCCACTTTCACAGTTTGCTGAGGAGCCAGATTGAGGTTGAAGTAGCTTTTCTCCCAGAGTCTTCAATGATCTTCTCAGGGAGAAAATAGAAGTTCCACAAGTACCAAGCACTTCCTGAGACTGCAGTACCACCAGGCCTCAGGGACAAGGGAAGGCACGCAGAAGAGGAGTGCACTATCCCATGACCCACCAAGGCGGCTTGGAGTGTAAACAGCCTGGTGCCAGGGACAGAAGAGAGGATGTAATCTGGTGTGAGGTTATCAGGAAAGAAAAAAAAAAAAAAATTGACCACTTCCAGCACCAGGGTGGGCTTGCTTGGGTCTGCACAGCAGTCCCAAACACAGGTCCTTACACAGAACAAGCTATTTGGATCCATGAGATGCTCTCCAAGTCGCTGACAAAATTGATAGAATTCAGATGAGTCACCTGAATTCCGGAACATTTCAACTGTCTTAAAATTCATACCAGAAACCCAGAGATTTTCTTTCTATCAACTATAATAAAGACCTATGGTCTCAATAAAATAAAGGGTTATCCTTCAAAATAGCAGTAATACTAGGCTTCTGACTCATGAAGTTGTTCACCTGTCCTTGCTGGGTTTGAGCCAGGTGCTAGTAACATGTGATCTGAAGTTTAATAGGTACATGATTTTAAAAATCTTTAAAGTTCACCTTCATGAGAAGATTGTGTGAAACTGAACATAAAATCCTTCAGAACCTGACCTTTGAGACATCTCTGGGGGCAGAGAGACTCAGTTTTAGGTACTTTGAATTTTTAAACATAATTGCTTATTACATCCTGTAGGCAAATGAACACAAATGTTTTGCTAGAATTGGTGTTGGTGTTCTGGATTAAATATCAATAAATAATGGAATTTGGTGGCAGCGATGAAACATCCAGTTACCCACAGAGCTACTCCCAGTGATATTCTTCCCAGCACTTGCTTCAGGACTGCAGCCTCCTCTGATGCTCCATGGTTCCAGCTAGGAAGAGCACAGTTAGGTGGCCAAGACCAACTTGTTAAGGAGCCAGAGACTTGCCTCCATTCTTAAGAGTTTTGACAATAAATGCAAATATGATTGGAGTGAAGTCAATCAGACAGTCAAGACCTCCTCAGGGAGATGTATAGTTTGTATACAATGACATCCTGCAGCTTGCCAAGTATACAGACCCACAAATGACAGGCCAACCTTGACAGGAGGAACCTTCAGTGAGCAATGCTGAGACCCTGAAAAAACTTCCTCCCATCAAGCTTGTTTGTTTGAATGTGAACTTCCAGGACAAGGAATAGTAGTCCTCTTGAGAATTCAGGGAAAGAAAAATATACTATTCCCACGTCAGTTATCTAGAGTTTTGCTGTTCATGCCACCCAGCAAACAAAAGGGAATACAACCCTCTTGCCAGGTAAGAATTTTGAGCCACAGGAAGAAATGGTACCATTTCAGGCCTCTAAAGTGAAAGTGTTTGGACCTAGTCAGAGGAAAACTTCCTATAAAATAACCCCACTATAGCGCTTTCTAGTTCAAATCTCAAGTAGCTGTGAAACACCATCCATAGCCATCAACCTAGCACTCTCTCTTTCCCCACTGCAGCTTACCAAGGTCAGGGCTGCACCTACTCACCAAGAACAAACCTAAACAACCACTCCCCAGCTTCCCCTCCACCCTGAGGTTCCCACCTTCAGGCTGGCCTGAACCCTGAGTATACTCCCATAGCTTACCAATGAGTGAGGACTGGCCCTGAGCCCCCTTACAGAATGTGGGTCAATAGGCTCCTTTAATTCAGGAGGGTTGGGCCCACACAGTCTTGTTATTTGGACTTTCAGCCATCTGGGCTTCAGGGGATGTCACCTCTGGCCTCTAGTCAGTTTTCCTCTCAACCTTTCTCTCTTCAGCTACATCTAGCTCAGTCAGGACGCAAAAGCAAAGCTGCTGGGTGATTCTGGTGATAGTAGCTAAATGAAAATAGAGAAGCACAGGATTTAGCAAACACATTTAGCTAGAGCCCCAACCTGAACATCAGAAGACTGAAGGCACATCTGTGGCTCCCTTCCCACCTGGCCCTTGGGCATGTTGAGCCTAGCTTTGCCCTTCACCCTCAATAAACCTCTGTCCTCCATTTCATGCCCAGCCATAGTCTGAAGCATGACTCCTGTCTTCCCAGATGGATGACACTGTCAGAAAGTCGTGCTTTAACCCCAGAATAGGATGCTAAAGTGAGAACTAAAGTGATCATGACAAGATCATAACAGAAGTATGTGGGGCAACCAGGTCTTATGCTCCAGCAAATCACAATTAGGGGATAGGGGAGATGTCCACCTCTGCAGGCACCTATACGCATGCACACATAGCCACTGAGTGGTGGATGGGGCAAAGAGACACTCACCCAGGACACTCTGAACAAACAGTGGCCTCCGGGACTCTGGCAGGTAAACACCCATGAAATACACAGGGATACCAGATAGGGCGATCCCAATGCCAATGAGGGAATTGATGGTGTCACTGAAGAGGGGCACAATCACCAGAAACACGGAGCATATGCAGAACACTATGGGAAAAAACAGGCTCAGCTGAAATGGAAGAGGGTGAGATAATAAGTATGGTAGGATGAAGGAACCACCCCTCCAAGTCTGCACAAAAATGCTGACCTTGAGAGGCCGAGGCCGCTCAGGCTCCTTCCAACGAAGGTAGAGCTGTCCAACAACAGAAAGTCCCACAAAGAACCAGTAGCTGAAGCTGAAGTAGTTGATGAGCAGGAAAACATCCTCCACAACCAGGTAGATGAGTGCCATGGTGCACTGTGGGGAAGGTAGTGGGGAAGGGGAATAAGCACTGTCACTTCTAGCCACCCCAAGAGACTCCATTGTCCAGCAGGCTGTCAGACCTGGTAACTTTATCATATTACCTCCAGTTTTCAGGGAGGCCTTGGCATCAGGTCCAGTATCCACATTAACCACCTCCCCCTCTTCCTACACTCAGTGCTTCCCTTTTGGTTGCAAGCAGGTCAGTAACAAGGCAGGCCCTCTCTCCCTTTCTGATGGCAAACAGGGAGGCTCTCAAACACACCAACCTCAATATGAATTACACTGTGCCCTAGGGAGCTCCTTAGACCTGGGTCCCAGTTACCAGGCATACAAATGGAGGAAATGCCTCCAGAACCAACTCAATGACTTTAGAAATGCAGATTAGCAAAATGGAGAGGTATGACAGAACTTGCCTTGTGGAACAAAAGAATCCTAGAGGACAGGGGTCAGGGACTACAGAACTTGGACAAGGCCTAATTTGTTTAAACTTCAAGAATGTAGAAATCCCTTCCCCCCCAATGCCACCTGCCTTTTTAATCAAAATTATCAACACAGGATTTTTTTTTTTTTTTTTGCGGTACTGGTGTTTGAACTCAAGGCCTCATGTTTACAAGGCACGCACTCTACCACTTGAGCCACTCTACCAGCTTAACACAGGATTTAAGACAAAAAAAGAGCCCATTTTACAGAGACAAGGGAGAACCCTATATTAAGAAAAGTGGACACGCATGGTGGTATACACATCTGCAATTCCAGACTTGGAAAACTGAGACAAAAGAATCTCAAGTTTGAGGCTAGCCTGGGCTGCATAGTAAGGTCCCATCTAAAGAGAGAAAGAAAGAGAGAGAAAAGCCAGGTGCTAGAGGCTCATGCTTGTAATCCTAGCTGCCTGAGAGGCTGAGATTGGGAAAACAGTGGTTCTAGGCCAGTCCAGGCAAATAGGTCCCAAGACTCCATCTCCAAAAATAACCAGAACAAAATGAACTAGAAGTGTGGCTCAAGTGATAGAGTGCCTGCTTTGTAAGTGTGAACCCCTGCGTTCAAACTCCAGTCCCACCAAAGTTAGAGAGAGAGAGTGTCAGAGACAGAGAAAAGGAAAATAGTGTGAGCTGGGAGTATAACTCAGTGGTAGAACACTTGACTAGCATATCCAAGAGGTCCTGGGTTCCATTCCCAACACTGCAAAAAATGTAATGAACTGTTTTTCAAATCTTGGAGTAAGGCCTACATGTAACTTAGTGCAAATTAAAAGGAGCCCTGCACAGACTTGCCCAGGCCCCATACCACCTTAGCAGAGCTTACATTGAACAATAAAGCAGGAACAGGTGTAAAACGCTCAATGTGGATCATGGACAGGAGGTCCGGAAGGTGGCCCTCACGGGAACCCACGAAAAACAACCTGTAAGAATAAGAAATGTGTCATCAGGATTCTTTTATTCATCCACATAGCCACTCCACTCATTCAGGCAAACTAGGCTCAGAACCCCAGAAAAACGAAAGGAACAATTTCTTAAGCTGCATGCATGCCCAGAATTCATTACTCATTACTGACGATACCACAGATGTCTCTCCCTTCTTCAACCATTAGCACCCCACCACTACCAAGGAATGCCCCATCTGCCATTATCCACTGACCACCACAGGCCCTCAGCAATGGAATTCACTATCCCCCACCAACACTCTCACTCTCTCAATCCCAGACCAATACCTCACCAAGTCCCACAGATGCTGCACCCTGCCATCACCCACTTGCATCCCAACCCATCCTACCAGGGGTACCCTACAGATTCACAGATAACACAATAGGTTTTTTTGTTTGTTTTTTTGCAGTACTGGGGTTTGAGCTCAGGACCTACACCCTGAGCCACTCCACCAGCCCTTTTTTTGTGAAGGATTTTTTGAGACAGGGTCTCGAGAACTACTGGCTTCAAACCTCAATCCTCCTGATGTCTGTCTCTTGAGTAGCTAGGATTACAAGGGTGAGTCACCAGCACCCAGCCACAAAATGTTTGTTTAAAAAAGAGCAGCCAGATTTTTTTGTGCCCTCCATATATCTTCATTCAGCAACTAATATATATAATAGACCAGGGTAGGTCTGGGGACAGAGACAACCCAGGCCTTCTTTCTGTACCTAAAGAGCTCTACAAACTGGGAAAAAAGACCAGTGTAGAAGTGAAAAACCACCCAGGATGGTGAGCATCACCATGGAGTACACAGCATTCAATCACTAGGCTTGAGGGATGGCTGAGAGAACAAAAAGCTTTACAAGAGATCATCACATCTGAGCTGGGAAGAAGAGTTGGAGTTTGACAGAAGTGAGTGGATAGGTGGGGAACCAGCATGTTCAAACACAAAAGAGCTTGGAGGCATGAAAAAATATGGCCTCTTTGAATGGTGATGCTACAGTGTCTATAGTCCAGGACAAAGTGTATGAGGAGAAGGTTCTTGGAATAACCTTCATACAAGGCTAAGCTAAAACAAATACTAGCTGTGGCTGAGAGAACTCATTGTCAGCGATACCTGGTATCATCATGGAGGACAGGTTATAGGGGAAGACCAGATAAAAAGGTCATCCATTACAACTGTCACATAAGAATGGAGGCCTGAATGAGAGTGGGCACCCTGGTTGAGGAGAAAACAAGACAGATATGTAAACATCAATTAAATATGGTGATTGTGTATACATGTGTACATGTTTGAACTGGGAAAAAAGTGGACACCAAAGGAAAAATCAAGATGCCAGAAGGCCAAGCACTGATAACTGATGGATCATAACGGTATGACTGAACAGAAATTGCATGTAGGGTATATAATAAATCTGAGACATTTGTGAGCCATCCAGGAATTGATGATATACCTAGAAAGGCATCACAGGCCAACATGTTACAGTTAACTCATGAGAATTAAATATTGCAGCTGGGTGTGATGGCACATGTCTTAATCCCAGCACTCCAGAGGGATAAGGGTAGCAAATTCATGATCAGTCTGGATTAATGTAGTGAGATCCTGTCTCAAAGAAAAAACAGGGGGGGATTAAATATTGCTGTCTATTATCAGTAAGGCTGAGACACAGTACCTTGATGAAGCAAAGATAGATGCGTTGAGGCCCCCAAAGCAGGACAGGGCAACAGCAATGGGGATGGTCCAGCTGAACATGCCAAATGTCTGGTCAGCAAATGTCTGGGGACAGAAAAGAAAGGGCATTCAGTCCAGGACAGGGTTCATAATCCTCCTGCATCCACGATCTCTGAACAAATGCAGTCATTACTAATTAGCAGCCCACCCTCTGCCTTAGACCAATTCCCTCATACTGAAGAGCTAGCATGGTTGTAGAGAGATCGGGCCATTCAGGGAGCTAAGTATCATGAAATGACGAACAAGTGAGGACTCCAAGAGACTCACCACAGCCACGGCATCACTAGTAAGGACATCTGAAATGTTCAGCACTGTGTAATAGGCCACGTTGGTCAAGATGTAGATGAGTGTCACAATTGGCATAGAGATCCCAATGGCCAAGGGCAAATTTCTGTTAGGACAAGTGAGATAGGACTACCTAGAACCAACCTCTCCTTGGAATCAAAGTTCATCAAGTATCCATTGGAATTTTCCTAACATTTAACAGTTCACTGGCCACCAGGTCTTTAAGGCCGGCTCCTCTTCCCTTTGTGCCCTGGGGTGGGTATGCGTCTCATGCTCCTAGGCTCTTTCTATAAGGAAGAGAGAGAGGGAAGGAAGGAGAGAAGAATAGAAGGAGAGAGAGACAAACAGAGAAATACTTTCCTGTGAAGATAGCTCATGATCGATATTTTAGCCTCACCATAGCAGAGCCAATGAGCCCCACAGGGTTTTATAAACCTCCTGCATCTATGATCTCAGGAGAAATGCAGGAGCAATATCCTCTGGGGACTAAAAGTCAGGCTGGGGACTCAAATGGCCAGAAGAAGTTCAGGCTCTGCAGGCTGTAGTTTCAGCACCAGAGTGCAAGGTCCTGACACCTCAGCCCCAGCTGGGTCTGCTGCTGCCCACTGAAGACCTCTCCTCCAAGAAGGACCCTGAGCACCCTCCAGTATAAACATGAGGGTAAGAGCCAAGGACTTTCCCACCTTTCCTAGCCCCCAACCCCTCCTAACTGGAGAAGGGGGAGTAAGGAGAAAAAGAGGATGAGAGGCAGAAGAAGGAGGTGTAGGAAGAGGGCAAGTGTACCCACTATCAGCAGGAGTTCCAGCCAAGTTGGAAAGTCAGAGTGTGATCTCACTTTTACCTTTCTGGGTTTTTGATTTCTTCTGTTACAAAATTAAGGGTGTCCCAACCTGAGTAAGAGAAGAGGGCAGAGTAGAGGGCAAGAGAGAGGTTTCCCATGTCCCAGGAGGAACCCTCAAAGGCGTCCTCAAAGTGCTCAGAGTGTCCTGTGGGAGCAAAGGCAGGTGGGGGTTCAGGAAGAAGGAAGGATGTAGAGAGAGAAGAAAGAGGAAGGAAACATGAAAAAGCAGAAAGGGGGAGGAAGACAAGGAGAGACAACAAAAGAAAGGAAAAACAATAGGGCGGGGGAAGAAAAAAAAAAAAAAAACATCATTTAACACCAAAGAACAACAACCATCAACTCCCTGCACTTTATCACCCCGCCCACTACCTCAGAGAAATTGGTATCTCTTTATTAACACTGGAAAAATTCAGAGAAACAAAAGCATTCTTGGCTGTCCTCTAATGTGACAACACTTCTTCCAAAACCCTAAAGAATTTCCATTTCCTGCCAGTTACCTCACTACAGGCCTCAGTTCTTGTTCCTACTTTTTATAATGCTGCTAGCCATTTCACATAAAGGAATCATTTTCCACTATAGTGAAGGTCTTGGCTAAGATCACTGCACAATTTAATCACATGGGTTTATCAATATCACAGAGAAGACTCTGATGCTCTTCTTGCAATGGGTGTGGTTATATGGGACAGGAAATCACAGGCTATATAGGAACTGAGGTCTTCTTATCTTTCACTGGGTCACCCCCACCCTTCAGAGAACCAGCCTAGGCCAAGACATCTGCCATTTTCCCTACAGTCCTCTGGGGACCTGAAGCCTACTAGCATCCAGCTGTCTAGCACAGAGACCTTCAGGACACACTGGGATTTTTAAGAAACACTAAGTCTTCTAATAGAGCTTGTCATCAGCCCCGGCAGAAAGCCTAGACCCAGATCTCAACGTAGTAAAAAAGGGCAGAATGTATAGCAAGAAAAAGGAAAACAAAGACCCCCTATCATCTAGGGGTGACAGTCACAACCCTCCAGCAGTGGTTCTCTGAGGCACAGATCTTGGAAGGAAGATTGCTCAACAACCTAATTTGACCCCAAAATGCTCTTGAGAGTCCAGGAACATCCAGATGGCTTACTGCACTGTTTGACATGAGTGTACAAAGGTCCTGAACCAGTTGCCTAAGAATCATCTAGGACACTTCATAAAAGCACAGCTTTGGGCTAGGGTGTAACTCAATGGCAAAACACTAGTCTAGCATGCATAAGACCCTGGGTTTGATCCCCAACATTGAGAAAAAAAAAATTTTAGTCTTCAAACCAACCAAAGTCCAAATGGTTACACTCAGAGATGAAAGAGGCTCTGAGCTGAGGTGAAGGCCTCAGCTCTCCAGGTGATTGTGAACACAGCTACATTTAGGAACTGATAAGTTAGAGAATGCAGTGGTTAAATTAAGGAGATATCCTTGGCTAAGTATCTCTCAAGACCTGTCTGCTGCCTCAGGAGATTGTGGGAGGCCTATTACCCTAAATGTCGGTGTGCTCTGATTCAGGAATGAAAAGCTTTCAAAAACCAACATATGCAGGAAAGACAGTGCCAATTTTACAATATTCTAGTATTTTGCTGGCTTTGGGAGGAATGCTGAATGCAAGTTCAAATGAAAAGTAAAGGCTACAAAATAACCCATTTCCACACTCGACCTCTACACACACACACACACACACACAGTGCTACCCTCTAGATCTAGGAGGGTCAAGTTTTCCTTACTGCCTGGCAGTCACAGACTAAAACCAGGAGCCACTCTATCCCCTTAGATAACATTGTGACCCAATTATCACCCAAGTTTCAAGAGCTCCTAGGGCCCTCAGCAGGCTTCTTGCAATGCCCCCAGTCTCTACAAAAGGAAAGCAGCACTAAGGAGGCCTCACATGTCCTGTTGGCCAAGCCAGTCTGGCACACAAAGACCAGGAAGAGATTCATGGCTATCTCTTGAACTCATTGACGCACTTTTTTTTTTTTTTTTTTTTTTTTGGTGGGACTGGGGCTTGAACTTAGGACTCTCGCACCTACAAAGCAGGTACTCTACCACTTGAGCCACACCTCCAGTCACTGACACACTTTTACATATACACAGAAAGAGTAGAGCAATGAAGCTAGCAAAGTCCCCACATCCTCCTCAGGGAACCAGAGGAACTCCTGGGACATCCACCCTTCTTCCCACCTCAGGCCCCTCTTACCCTGGCACAGTTTAACAAGGCCCATGACAATGATGGCAATGAGCGCCATGACCTTGGCGTAGGTGAATGTGTCTTGTACTCGTGTGCCCCACTTGACATAGGCACAGTTTACAAATGTCAGCAGACCTAGAAAGAAAACCAGAGAGTTACTGGTAGGCTTGAGCTGAGGGCCCACAGGCCCAACCTCTCTTCACAGAGAGCATCACTTTTGCCCTTCCTACCTAAGTTAGAGGGAGCAATGAACCAGTGGGAACCAAAAAAGGCAAACAGGAGGACCTGCCCTTACTGACAGCACTCATGACCATCCCAACATTGTTGACAACCAAAGATACAAAGGCATGTATGAACATAATACATTGAGAGCCATTTTTGGAAATTCTCCCAGGTCCAAGAATGTTGGCCTCATTTCACCCACTCTTCTCCACACAGACTCCATCCCAAGGTGCCAAACTATAAAAGACTTAAGACCACTCTATGGTCACATTAGACAGTGGGGACAACAGAGGACCCATCAATATATCAATAAATAAAGTAAATTTTGGGGCTAGAGGTATGGCTCAAGTGGCAGAGTATCTGCTTTGTAAGCCTAAAACCCTAAGTTCAAACCCCAGTCCCACCAAATAAATAAGGTAAATTTGAATACAGATGACAGCATACTGAAGAATGAGAAAGAGTGTAAAAAAAAGTGATGTGAGTGTAAAAAAAAAAAAAGTCTTTTATGTACCTGACAATTTCTCATAAGCCTCCAAGTGCAAACATGTATATTCCTATTTTATAGATGAGGAAACTGAGGCTGAGAAAGGCTGATTACCATTCCCAAGCCCAAATGATCACCCTACCTACATTCCTATCCAAAACTCACAATTCTCAGTGAGTCCCAAGGAGAAAAGAGCCTGAGTGCTCTCTAGTTCACATCAGCACCGCTGCCTTTAAGTTCTAGCTTCTCACATACCTCAGTGACACAGGGTCCTATGTTAAGAGTGATGGTGCCAGAACTTTGCCCCTACTAGGGTTCTATAGCAAGGAAAACAGAGACACCTCTAAGTACTATCCTTAGTCTCCAAAACAAGAATTTAACGTGCACTTCAAATGTTATCACAAAAGCCTGCAGGCCTATCCTCTAAGCCACTTACACCTACTCCTAACCCATTTTACACTTTCTTCTTCAGTGAGACTCTCCCATTCTTATGCATGCCAGATATACACACAGAAATGTTCTCCTCTCCTCTACCTACCACAGACATCAGCAACAACTACTTCCAAAGTCTGGCTCAGCCACCACTTCCTCTAGAAACCTCCCCAAATATATCACCCAACCCCTCCTTGAGTTCTCTCTCCCCTTTGTATTCCTACTTCTACTTCATAACACGGCTTAGTGACTAATGCTATAGTACTGTGGATCTCTGTCTCTAGGAGGTCTCTCCCTTAGGTGTCTGGGTCTTGCTTCCTCAAAGGTCACAAATTCTCAGAGGGCAACAAAAGCATTTTGTATTCTTAAGCTCACTGCTCACCAGAGAGGAAAACTGATGAACCCTAGTTGGAATCAAGATGGTGATGGCTCCACTTAATAGCCAATTTCCTGAAGCAAGCCAATTGTCAGAAAGATGGACTTTCCCCCCTCAAAAGGACAGAAGCACCCAAGACCAGCTATAAAAATGAACACCTGTGGCAGAATGGCTTCCATAGTCTTTAAAGAGCTTCACTCAGTAATGAAACTCACCAAATACTGTTTGAAAGAGGGGAAGAGGTCAAGAGGGAATGGAATATAATGGAAAGGATGAACTTGTTCAAGGTACACTGTCATACATGTAAGAAATTATCACAATGAAATCACCTCATATTATCAATGTATGATAAACAAAAAATAAAATACATTATTCTCAAAAAAATAAAGTAAAATAAAAGATTGATCCCAATTGGGTAGTATACATTTTAAAAAAAAAAGAGCTTCACTCAATACTCTGGTAAATTATATAGGTGGTCATCAATCAATTATATGATGAGGGTAGGGAGACACAGTGATCAAGAGGGTTGAAAGGGGGCTGGGATGTAGCTCAGTGGTAGAGCTCTACCTAGCATGCAAAAGGTCCTGGGTTCAGTCCTCAGCACCAAAAAGGTAAAAACTGGGGGAAAAAATAAAAAAGAGGATAAGGTTGAAGCGCAAATGAAAGAGAATTGCTGAGAGGTCTTTCCATGGACCTACATGGCTGATCAAAGTTTTCTGTTTGGGGTAAGCCTAAATCAGCTAACATAGGTAGTTAACAGCTATTAATAATACAGATGCCCTTGTATTACAGTAAGCACATTCTGGGGTACTTGCCCAGCCTCTTCTTTTCTTTTCTTTTTTTTTTCAGGGGAGGGTGTTTGTTTTGTTTTTCTTGCAGTGCTAAGGAATAGACTCAGGGTTTTGAGCATGCTAGGCTAACACTCTACCACTAAGCTATATTCTCAGCCTGCCCAGAATCTTCCTGGGAATTGCTCCCACTTCCCTAACATGGCTGATCAAGCTAGGCACTGGACCCAAGCTGGGCCTATGAGACTGCTCCTCCCAGAAACTATCCTTGGAGTCAAAATACCAGGAGACCAAATCTAATAGCAGCAGGCTACTCTAAAAGAGTCAGGAACCACAGCAAATCAAAGAACATTTAAGTATAAATCCACAGTAACAGAAACCACAAGTAAGCAGAGGAAGGAACCAAGACTACAAAGGGAAGCAGAAGTGAGAGGGCACACAGCTTTTCAAAAAGACAACAAAGAAACACAAAGAAATACACAGAAAATGGGGGAGGGGAGAAAAAGGGACAGGAGGGAAAAGACAAAGACAAGAAGGCAGACAGAGAAAGGGGACAAAAGGAGACAGAAAGATGGACATCCACAGGGAAAAAGACTATCTGACAGTATCCTGGGCTCACTGAGCTTGTAGTCCCAAGATGGGTAAGAGACTGTTACACCCCTCAGCTCACACATGCCAGGCACTATGTTTGTTGGGTGCCGGTGGCTCACACCTATAAGCCTAGCTACTCAGGAGGCAGAGATCAGGAGGATTGTGGTTCGAAGCCAGCCCAGGGAAATAGTTCTACGAGACCCTATCTCGAAAAAACCCTTCACAAAAAAGGGCTGGTGGAGTGGCTCAAAGTGTAGACCCTGAATTCAAGCCCCAGTACCACACACACACACACAAAAGACATGCCAGGCAGTATGACTCACTTTATCTCCTCTCCTTCCCTCAATCCTGCTACAAATTTCCTGCAGGCTTGGTCCTCTCTGCACACAAATAAATACAATACATAGTGGAAATTCAGTGACTATGTGCTGATGAATGAAGGTTGCTCCACATGGATGTCCCTGCAGAGCCATTCCAAAGACCACCTGGGTGGATACAAAAGCACCTAGTCTGCTGTGAGTTACTCAAGAGGCTAAAGGCAGGAGAATGGCAAGTTCAACTACATTGAGAGTTACAGGCTAGCCTGGGTAACTTAGTAAGATCCTATCTCAAAAATAAAAAAGGGCTGGGGATGTATCTCAGTATTTGCTTAGTATACACAAGGCCCTGGGTTCAATCCCCAGTACTGGAGTTGGGGAAGCACCTGGTCAGCCAGGCTGCCCCTGGGAAGAAGACAAAAACTCCGGAGAGAGGTTGCCTTTTGCTATGGTATACCCTTTTACACTCTGACTTATTTGCCATGCACAGGTGCTTAGTTAATTAGCCACAATGTACTGCCAGAGAGCAGGGCTGGTAGGGTTAAGAGAGTCAGGTGCTCAGTGCACAAAACTTAAGGAGCACTTCATTCCAGGGGACCACGTGCAGGAACCTGAGAGTGAGTATATCCTTTAAAGCTGGCCCCAGGCACCAAGCTGGCCTCATACTACTCTCAGACCTGCCAGAGAACACAGTCTACCAAGAAGCCAAGTCTCTTGACTGCTTTCCTGATTCTAATTAGGAAACAAAATTTCACCATCCAAATCACACCCCTTCATGCCTCCCAAAACTCTCAGCCATTAAATTCAACAGACTTTATCAGAGCTCAAAGACAACAGCACCGAGCTTGAGGCTAGGTTCTTAGGTTCCACAGCCACAACTCAAACTGCCAAGCCTTCCCTCTTCTCCTGATCGTATTTCCTTGCTGGACAAGCCAGTATTAATGAGCACAGGACCCATATGAGTGTTTTCAAGGCTTGCTGGGAGCTTGTTTTTACTGTTTGCTTACTTGTTTTTTTGTTTTGTTTTTCTCAGGATTGAATGCAGAACCTTAAGTGCAATATCACTAAGCCACATCCCCAGCTCCTCTGGGAGCTTATTGTTGAGAAAGAGTACTCTAACAGCAGATCCAGACCCAACCCTGAGGCAGAAACATATCCCCAAAGACTCTTGATAGCAGAAACTGCTAGCTATCTTCCAGTCAGTATTTGTTCTTCCCTTTTTTCCTTAGTAGAAATTTTAGCTGAAGTCATGGCTGCCTAAAACAGACATTTCCCAGCCTCTTCTCAGGAAGGTATAGTCAGGAAACAAGCAGATGTTTCAAATAAGACCTTGGGAAGCATCTCTAAAAGGGAGGGTGTACCTTTCTTTGTCCTTTCTGTCAGCCATAAGACAGATATGACAGCTGGAGCTTGAGTAGCCATCCTAGACCATGCCTAGAAGTCAGAAGCGGAGGATGGCACAGCAGTGAGACTGAAGGAAGGAACCTGACTCCCTGAACCATGTTTTTACGTAAGTCCTGTAGATTTTTGAGGAGTGGTACTGGAGTTGGGTTTGAACTCAGGAAGTTAGGCTTCCTCTAGGAGGCAGGTGCTCTACCACTTGAGCCATTCCTCCAGTCCCTTAAGCATTTTTTAAGTTGCCTACCAGCCTACTTTTAACATCTGAAAGAAACAAACTTCAGTGTTTGAGCCATGCTGCTTTGTGTTTTCTTTTGCATGAAATCCAAACTAATCCTGAATAACGCATGTACCTCCTGACAGAACTGTGCCTCTCATACTCTTCCTTGACAAGGAAGTGGCTGGACAACCTGTAGTTATAGTCCCAGCTATGCTAAGAGTCATAGCTCATAGCTCCCTATTCCCATAGGGACAGGGAAACCTTCCAATTCCTCCCACAAACAGCCAGAATGCTGCTAAGGGGCATT